GAACCCGATTTTAAACCGAAAAATCACATGAGGGACCTCGAAGGTTGATTCAAACGCGCTCAGGAAACGCGCAAGGGTTAGCACTCTGGAGAAGGGGTTCGGAGAAGTGCTCCCTAATCTGCCTAATTAGAAATTTGGGTGCTCTGAAAAAATGGTTAGTGCACACGATCTAAGACAAGTCGAGAGAAGAAAGACAATCACTTTACTTTACTTCAGTAAGTCTAAGGAACACACCGTACCCTTCTTTCTCAAATCGAATTGCCTTCCCCTACCTAGCCTATTTTTCAGAGATTGTAGCCATTTATTATATGATATCAACAAACAGACAGCACCAGTTAGTATACTCAATCAGTTTGTCAAAACAAGTCAGATTCATAACTACAGACCAGATCTGTCTCTAGATGTTATTGTTAGGTTCATTCGCTGAAAATGTTTGCCCCTTTAGCCACTAATCAACAAAAACTGTCCAAACGTGCTTGGCTCACTACTTCAAGAGAAATGCCGTTCATTAGGACGTGAGCCAGATAACGATACAATTCTCCTGACCAAGTAAGTAAGATTAGTACGATAAATGTGCTTTTATTTTACTTCGCAGCGTGTTCAGTCGATGGATCAGAAAAAGCTTCAAGGTCCCTGGCGTACCAAGGTATTATACCATCGTCTGATGCTTCCCAACTGGCTCCGTTCATGTAATAAAGTAGAATGGAACTCTCCAAAAGAAGGAGTCGATCTAAATCTTGTGATCCTCCCCGACTCTTCTGACTGGGAGAAGATAATTAGAGTTCCTTTCATCCCCAAAGGACGTGTTGGACCACGACGAGGACATCACAGTCAAAATGACAGTAATAGATTGTCTGAGCCTCAAAAGCCTCGCGATCCTATGCGTTGTATGATCTCCGATGGAGACTATCCGATTGGTATGCAACTGCTAGACCCAAACCACGACTACACTACGGGTCCCTACAAACCAGTGGAGGGTGAATCCCAAAAGAGAAAGTTGAAAGTGGATACGTCTGATGACTACAGTAACGTCCTAGTTTCAACCACACTCCAAAAAAATCCCGATCAGTTTGAGTTGACGTTCAAACCATCCGAGACGTTTGGGTCGGCGTACTGTGCCATAGATAATGGTCACAAGATTGTCACACAATATGGTGACACCTTAAAGCTCAGTAAGGGATTGACGTTTGAGCTGTATCGCTACCAAAGCACAGAGAGGTACACAATCAACTACATTGAGATTACTGTGTACCTAGACTCCAAGCCTGTCTAAGCAACTGAGGACTGAGTAGTTTGTGTAGGATTAGCCCAGAGCATTGACGACAGCTTTGTAACGTGTTACTTTTCATAACTCGCATGCCTCTGTTTTTGTCTGTTGTAACAACTTTAGAGGGCGATGATTAAAGTTTGTAGCGTGTGATATTGGACAACCTCACTTGCAAATTCAGAGACTTTTTTTACTGATTTTAAACAGACGAAGTGATTTGTTACTGTCCCGGGGAAGGTACTCCGGAGTTAAGGTGACGCGTATGTTTGAAGGATGGGTTCCAAATTTCCATTCCTGTATTATCATTTTGGTTAGAAAAATATTGGATGTATTTTTGGGGGTGCCTTGATTTAAGCATTTTTTCAATTTATTTGTTAAACAAGAATTAGCACATTGGGGGAGGAGTCCATGCCAGTACCCTGGCTCCAAAAGTCCTTTTTCGAAATATCTACAGGATGAAATAAACCGTGCTCACGGTTGAAAACGCTCCCGAGATTCGCGCCTCGCTGTCGCGGTTCGCCGCGAACTATCACGAATTAGACAAGAAAAAACTAACCTCTGGAGTCCAGGGAAGGGCTCCAGAGGAGTTGCTCCCTAATTAGAAATTTGGCTGCTCTAGCGAAGAAAGACAACATATGTTTTCTTTTAATAAAACAATTTTTCCAAAAAAAGATTGCAGCGTCCTAATTGGTTTCAAAGTCTAAGCTAAACTAGAATCACGAAAGCATAAAAATTGGTCAAATAATGAAACAAACTTATGGAAAAAGAAACGAAAAGAAAACATTATCGAACCCGAAGCTTGTTTTGTTGTAAGAACTTGAGCATTGAAAATAAGAACAAATCGTTCGTGTCCAACGGCTTACCTCAACTGAAAAAACTGCGACTGAAATTTATTTATCAACTGTCAATCGTTTAAATCAACGGATCAGAAATCAATAAGAACTCGGTTCAATATTAAGTCAACAAATCGTCGCGTAAGTTGCGATCCTACGGCTTTTTGAGACCAAGGAAAGACTCAAAAATCTATTCCTGTTATGTAATGCAAAAATTTTTTATAATTAATTGGAACCTACAAAGAGACATAGATAAGTGTGGAGTGGAGAGATTTCGACTGCTTTCGCCGATTTTCTTTCGCCTGTTCAGTAAGAGGTAATATGCCTAAGGGCACTCAACAAGGGCGCCGAAGAGGTGTGCCTCCAGAGCTCTCAAACCCTTCGTTCATTTCGCTACCTGTTCCGATAACACCCTATAAGCTCCTACAGTGTTTAAGTCAAGAGATCTTTTATTTTATAACCCTGATTCATGGACACAGATTTTTGGAGGGAAAACTGTCGGCAAAAAGAAAGCCTGTTCAAGACGCTAAAGTGAAGTTGTGCCCTGCTGTTCGTCCTGTTCGGCGGCACATAAAAGAGTGTGCCCCCCCCCCCCCCCCCACTGATTCACGGTCACCGATTTTTGGAGGGAAAACTGTCGGCAAAAAGAAAGCCTTTTCAAGACGCTAAAGTGAAGTTGTGCCCCGCTGTTCGGCCTGTTCGGCGGCACATAAAAGAGGGTGCCCCCCCCCCCCCCCGGGGATAATATAAGTCACAATGTTTTCGAAAACAAAATTGCAGTTTAGACTCGATCTCTAATGGCTTTTGGAACAGGTTTATGTTTTTTTAGGAATCTTTGTGATAGAGAAGTTACGTACGGTAGTTCGAAATTTAAATTCTTGATATTCTAGAAAATAGTTTGCCTCCAACGCGGACAATCTATAATTGAGCGTGATATCAAATTGGACTTATCACCCGCCGAATTTTGGTGTGAGTCTGTCCAGTATGTCTAAAGGGAATTGCCTGCACGACTGATTTGATTTTCTAGATAAATTTTCTTAATACTCCAAGTAAGGCAAAAGCAATGACTTTAACGTGAATTTGCGGCTCTATTGCTATTGCCTATAAAAGGCTTTAAAACAAGACGGCGTGCATTTTTGTCCTTTGTCTAAACAGGACAATAAAATTATGGGTGTTGTCCTAAACAGGGTCAGGGTTTAGTTCTGCCTCGATGTACTTCATAAATTTCCTTTCACCCAATAAATAAAAGATTAAAGCATAATTCCAAGCAATCACACGTTTTAGGATTTTGTTTTCTGGATACTAAAATTAGATCTATCAGAATACATAAAGTCTAATCAGATATTAATTTTTTTTCGATTTGCATCATAAAGTTCATTATCGAGGTCTAGACGTCTGGTTTGAAGACAAAGGGATCAGCTCCCGACGAAACGTGATGTAAAATAACACGTTATATAACACAATGAACACATTTCTTTTACGTGACGCGGACCATATATAAGAGAAGGGCCCGTGACCTTCCATATTTTCACCTCGTTGTGCAGTCGTGAGGTAAAAAAATGATGTGGAAAACGCGTAGGGTCTTAGGAGAGAGAGGGTGACAGGCTTTTTCCCGCCATACCACCGCCTTCTTCCCCAGCAAGCTTAGACTTGCCATAAGTCGACCCAGGGGCACATGACCCAGAGCCTCTATCTCCAGTGATTTCTTGAGTCAATCCCTTCCCTAGTTGATTTATAAATAGAACGGCTTGTTTCCCGCGAAAAGTGTCATATCTCCGCGAGTCTCGTATGTCACCGTGAAAAATATAGGTGGATGAAGGCGAATTCGAAAGCCAGTCCTACGACCGTTTTTCTTTTTACTATACGCACAGGTAGCCCAAGCTCGAAATATGAGCATCGGTGAGCATCGGCATTGTTGCGTAACATTCAAAATATAAGGATTTGTATGGCAAAAAAAAACCTATCGTTTCCGTAACCTACGAAAATGAAAGGATTTCAATAAAAAACAGCTTACCTTACTTAAAATGTGTGTTACGTCTCTCCTGTGTGGTCCACGGGCCGATTTATGGCCGTTTTATGGGTCTTTATGGAAACGGTTTTCTCTCTATATAAAGGCAAACCTTTATATAGAGAGAAACCGTTCGGCGATGACTATAGTAGCAAATAGGTAGTTTAAAGCAGCTGTGTCACGAAATTCAGCCAAATTAGGAAATTACAAAATGCCCGTTAAATTAAGAGAAACATAAAAAATAATCGCGTAAAACTTTAAAGGAAGGTTAAAATAACATAACAGAAACAACAGATGCCACGGATGGGCAAAACTGAAGAAGAATGAAACGGATTGAAATTAGGGTTTTTGAAAACTGTTCAGCCTAACAGTCTTACAAAGTTGATCCCTGCTGCTTGCAACTCGTCAAGAATAATGCTCAGGAGACATATTTGTTTGTCTCAGATCTCTGATTTTGTCATTTACATGTAATTTCTTTGCATACTTTAAGTTCCATAGCGATTGAGGGCGAGTAATTGGCAAAATTAAACAAAATGAACTGGACTGTCGTGACACATGCAGCCCCTTTAATACGGACTAGGTCTAATAGGTTTACCTTTCGAAATTGATTTACTGGCTATAACTTCGGCACAGATTATGGAGCTGAATCAAAATTTGCCACACATAAAGAACTGGCGTCCTTAACATTTTAAAGTATAAATATTTTGTTAATAAGTCACGTGATATGTCACGTGACCATTTTGCTAAAACTCATAAATAATTGACAAATTGGTAGCGGGTTTAAGAAAAGAAATCTAGCAATAACATTTTTATCATTCATATCAAATATGTCTAACAGTTCACGTTTGGACCGTTATGAGTGTACTTCAATAAAAAATTATCAGAAAAAACCTCATTTTAAATGCCCTAATTTAACCTTGAATTATTTAAAACTAAAATTTTAAACTTCGCGTACATTCATTCTGCGAAAACCGAGGAGGATCTTCCGACTTCCAACTTTCGACTTTCGACTTTCGACTTCCGCCTTCCGACTTCCGCCTCCCGACCGAACTGGATAAATATTTTCCTTTCCATAAGGAGTTAAAGTTTTTCTTCCACTAAATGTTAACTGGACTATATTTTGCAACGAGAAAATGCCCACCTATCGTACAATTGTAATTCAACGTGTAACATTTCTCAAAGAGATATTCTTCTCGTTAGAGCAATATGTTAAAGGTTTTTAAAGGTCTGTCTGTACTTTGACGTTAGCCGTCAAGTTTGTCTTGATTTCAGAAAATATGTCCGCACTTGAGCAGCAGAAAACGAGCCCATTTTGAGCTGGGAAGTAAGAAGTGGTGAAAAGTCTGAACTCCGGATTCGGAAGACCCTCCTCGGCTTTCGTATTATCCAGTTAGGTGTATTCCGGTTGAATTTGTATGTCTAGAAAACCGCTGCCACTTTTTGCAGTAAAAGCAGTGATTCCCCACGACCGTTGTGGAAGTTGAAAGGCGGAAGTCGGAAGACCCTCCTCGGCTTTCCTAGCTTCCCACGCAGGAAGCTTATAAGACTTATATAGCTCACCTCCGGTTTTTCAGAAGGATATTTACCTCAATGACATGTTAGGTGTCATAGTTGCGTGACGACACTAAAGACTATATATAGGTGTCAACGCTGAAAGGAATTATACCCTGAGGGGAGTACTCTCGATAACGGCCTACACGTGGAGGCGCCCGAGGAGGGTACCTACCCCTAATGTTAGCTTAGGGGAGGGGTAGGTCGGCAGTTTCTTAGAAACCTAAATTGATCTGGGAATTTTATTAGCGGCTGTGTCAGGAGCCTATGGGCTCCAGCCTGTTTGCTGTTTGCAGCCTCCGCCGCTCCAATCAGAAAGAAAGGGGCGGCGACTGTTGAAATATCTGAAAGGAGAGGGTACTGAAAATAATCTACCATTTCGGTCTATAACTGAAGGCCCAAAAGGGTTAAGATTTAATTCATTTACCAATTAGACGTTTTAGGATTTTGTTATGTGGATATTGACATAATTTGATATTCAATTCTATTCGATTTGCATCATAAAGATGCAAAGATTTGTTTTTGACGTTTGAAGAGAATGTTTGTTTAATGACCCTGTTTGATTGGATGTTCCTGTAAACTCTGCTCGAAACGTGATGCAAACACGACAAAAACACAATCCTGTACGTGACCAAGACCATATATAAGAGAAGAACCCACGAAAGTCTTCAGCATTTGCACCTCGTTGCAGAGCACCAAGAGGACAGATCATTCGCTTTGGGGGTTATCGGAGGTAAGCAATCAAAAGCTGTTTAAAAATATGGAGTCACTTACATGTAAATTCACTGTAAATTCGATGTAACTCGAACAGTGTTTGTATATTGGAACGCATTCCAAACTACTCCAATCTAAACTTAGCTTTTAAAATTGTGACAGTTGTAATGCTTTTCTTGCCGTTCAATTTCTTTATATTCTAGTGTCAAAGACTCGTTTTACTTTAAATATTAAATAATAAGATCAAACTCCAACCGCAGAATAAAAGAAGTATCATAGGTAATCGGGTAGGGTGAGAGAGAGCAAACTACACCGATCTACACCTTGCACCAGCCGCTATTTAACTGTCCAAAGATGCTTGCTTCATCATTTCTTTAAGTGAATCACCATCACCTTGGAATTGATCCAGATCATGATATAGGATTCTATTGACAAAGTATGTATTTTGCTTTGCAGCCTTTCTACACAATGAGTCAAAAAAAGCTTAAAGGTCCCTGGCGTCCCAAGCTGCTCTACCATCGTCTGATGCTTCCCAACTGGCTCCGTACAAGTGATAAAGTCGAATGGAACTCTCCAAAGGAAGGAGACGATCTCAATCTTGTAATCCCACCCGACTCTATGGACTGGGAGAACATATTTAGAGTTGCTTTGATCCCCAAAAATGTGTTGGACGACGACGCGGACATCACAGTCAAAATGAAAGTGGGAGTCATATTGCCTGAGCCTCAAAAGCCTCGCGATCCTATGTCCTATATGATCTCTGATGGGGATTATTCTATTGGAATGCAACTGCTAGACCCAAACCACGACTATCGTACAAAGGGTCCCTACAAACCAGTGGAGGGTGAATCTCAAAAGAGAAAGTTGAAAGTGGATACGTCTGATGACTACAGTAACGTCCTAGTTTCCACCACGGTCCAAAAAAATCCCGATCAGTTTGAGTTGACGTTCAAACCATCCGAGACGTTTGGTTCTGCGTACTGTGCCATAGATGATGGTCACAAGATTGTCGCACAATATGGTGACACCTTAAAGCTCAGTAAGGGATTGACGTTTGAGCTGTATCGCTACCAAAGCACAGAGAGGTACACAATCAACTACATTGAGATTACTGTGTACCTGGACTCCAAGCCTGTTTAAGCAACTAAGGACTGAGTAGTTTGTGTAGGACTAGCCCAGAGTATTGGCGGCAGCTTTGTAACCAGTTAGTTTTCTTAACTGGCTTGCTTCTTTGCTTTTGTCTGTTGTAACCACTTTAGAGCGCGATGATTAAAGTTTGTAGCGTGAAATATTGGACAACCTCACTTGCAAATTCAAAGACTTTTTTTGCTGATTTTAAACAGGCGAAGTGATTTGTTACTGTCCCGGGGCAGGTACTGCGGAGTTAAGGTGACGCGTATGTTTGAAGGATGGGTTCCAAATTTCCATTTCGGTATTATAATTTTGGTTAGGAAAATATGGGATGAATTTTGGAAGTGCCTTGATTTAAGCATTTTTTCAATTTATTTGTTGAAAAGGGGTTAGCACATTGGGGGAAGGGTCCATGCCAGTAGCCTGGCTCCAGAAGTCCGTTTTCCAAAAAAAGGCCTAGGATGAAATAAACCGTGCTCACGGTTTGAAAAAGCTCCCGAGATTCGCGCCTCGCTGTCGCGGCTTCGCCGCGAACTATCACGAATTAGATAAGAACAAATTAACCTCTGGAGTCTAGGTTGGGGGTCCAGAGGAGTTGCTCCCTAATCAGAAATTTAGCTGCTCTGAAATAATGGTTTATGCTTAGAGAATAATTGAGACCTACAAAGAAGGAACTCAAAGAGGCATGGGTGTAGATAAGTGTGGTGTGGAGGAATTTCTACTGCTTTCGCCGATTTCCTTTCGCTTGCTTTTCAAACCCTTCGTTCATTTCGCTACCCGTTCCGATACTACCTTGTAAGCTCCTACAGTGTTTAAGTCAAGAGATCTTTTATTTTATAACCCTGATTCATGGACACAGATTTTGGGGGGGGAAAACTGTCGGCAAAAAGAAATCCTGTTGAAGACGCTTAAGTGAAGTTGTGCCCTGTTCAGCGGCACATAAAAGAGTGTGCCCCCCTTCGCCGGGGATAATATGGGCCACATATTTTTTGAAGTAGCTTTATGTTTCCTTTAGGAAGCTGTGTGATAGAGAAGTTAAGTATTTCGAAAAAAAAATCGTGATATTCTAGAAAATAGTTTGCCTCCATCACAGACGATTTATAATTGAGCGTGATATCAAATTGGACTTTATATCACCCGCCGAATTTCGTGTGAGTCTCTCCAGTCTGTCTCAAGAGAATTGCCTGCACCAGTGATTTGATTTTCTGGACGAATTTTGTTTGTACTCCAAGTAAGGCAAAAGCAATAACTATAACGTGGATTTGCAGCTCTATTGCAATTGCCTATAAACGGCTTTAAAACAAGACGGCGTGCATTTTGTCCTTTGTCTAAACAGGATAATAAATTGGGGGTGTTGTTCTAAACAGGGCCAGGGTTTAGTTCCGCCTAATGTACTTCATTAATTTCCTTTCACCTAAATAAAAGATTTAAGCTTAATTCAAAGCAATCAGACGTTTTAGGATTTCGTTTTCTGGATACTGAAATTCTTTTAGATCTATCAGAATACATAAAGTATAAAATTATTTTTTTTAAATATTCAACTATTTTCGATTTGCATCACAAAGATACAAAGTTCTGTTCATTATCGAGGTCTAGACGTCTGGGTTAAAGACAAAGGGATCGGCTCCTGACGAAACCTAATATAAATAACACCTTATATAACACAATAAACACATTTCTAGTACGTGACGCGGACCATATGTAAGAGAAGGGCCCGTGACCATCCTTACCATATTTGCACCTCGTTGCAGAACATCTCGAGACAGATCATTCGCTTCTAGATAAGAGCTTTATCGGAGGTAAGTACTTTTTGGAGTCGCTTAATTTCGATGTAGCTCGAATAGTGTTGGAAATATGGAACGCATTGCCAAACTACTCCACTGAACTGAAACTGAACTTTTTAAAATGTGACAGTGTACTTTTTTCCCTTCTGCTAGCATCGGCCTCTTTTCCCTGGTATTCAGCAGGTCTTTTTCCTCCCGCCCGCCAAATACCAGGGAAAAGAGGCCTCTGCTAACAGGGAATGTACTTTTCTTGTTATTTTATATTCCAGTGTCAAAAGGCTCGTTTTACTTTAGATCGTTGCACCGAGAATATAAAACAAAAACGTCAAATTCTAACCATAGAATCAGCAGATCAAAAATGAAGGTAGAGTTTTTGTTCTACACTTTTACACTTTACGACTCATTACATGCACAGAACACAAAATGTTTGTATCACAGGCACCACCCAAAAGTATTATATGGGTCGATGCAGACCACACCGATTAAAACTAAAAAACGAAAATACAATTATATTAAATTATACTACTTGAAACTATTGTAAATATCACTGCACAAATTATGACTAGGAAAATGAAGCACATGTAAGTAGTTAGTAGTTTAGTTAGTTAGTTTGGTCAACCGCTCGCTCGGACAACTGATGCATATGGATTCTCCCTCGCCAGTCACTTTAGTCTAGGATTGCCGTAATAATATAAATAATAATAATAATTATAATAATAATAATTATTATTATTGGGGCCCTTGGAGCCGTATCAGTCAACTTTAAGGAGTAAATGAAGCGAATCGGCGTAAACGTGAGGTTAGAAGTTATCCGCAGAAAACAGCATTGTTGGGGACAGCAAAGATACTAAGGAAAGTACTGTCCCTGTAAGAAGAAGGAAAAGAGAGACCTGACACCCGTGGTAACTTGTTGTAACCGGCTCCCAAGGACTATAAACCGGCCGAACATCCTGCCTGAGTCTATAGTTATTTAACCTTAGCTTACATGGAGAGTAAACTAATTCAGGTGCTAATTGAAAATGTTTGCCCCTAAAGCCACACAAAAACTGTCCAAACGTGCTTGGCTCACTACTTCAAGACTTTCAAGTGAATGCCGTCCTTTTTAACGGGAAGGAAGCCAGACAATGATACGATTCTACTGACAGACTGTAACTAGTAAGATTAGTACAGTCACATTAACCTAGCCTGCGAGCACTGAGGCTGTCCCGTGAGAGCTTGCTCGCAGGCTAACAGGGGAACCCGACGACCGTTTTCTGTAAAATATCTGTTCGGAGAAGCAAATATTGCCTAGAATTTTCTATTACTTTAGGACGGCTAAAAATTTCCAGATGACTGTTCCATTCATATAAAATTTTCGAAGCTTATCTAATAAATCCCCTACGATTTTCCAAAGTTTAATTTTTCACTTTTCACTCCTCAGGCTAGGCTATTTTCTTTAAAAAAAAAACTGAAGCCCTTGCAATTTGGAAAAGACTCAAGTTCCCTCACGATAACCGAACAGATACAAATTTTATTGCGCCGCTTAGAATGCATTCTAGAGTACTCTGGATAGCCTAACGGGACTTTTCAATGGGATGTATTTTTTGGGTGCCTTGATTTTAGCAGAGACTCACTTTGGGTATTCAAAGCCGTCTAAAGATTGGTGCAGTACCTCGCCCGTATGCCCAGCCTTGTTTTTTGCCTGATAAACTCCTCCTTCCTGCTAAAGACATCATAGATACCTGCCTTGTACCCCCATTGCACTTTGTCACCAGTCACTCTCGTCTCTCTCGTGTTTCGCGCTACCTCTGTGCTAACAAGAAAGCGCCTAACGGGGAGGCTGTCTGGATATACCGTAAAGGGAGGGCATGATGACAGGCTAGAATACTCCCTCCCTCTTGGGCCCAAGACACTGATACTGGGTGTGAAAACAGGATTGGTAAAGCGAAGCTGTTAAAATAAAAAGGTATGTATTATGTTTATCAGGATTTAGCCTGTTCCAGGCTCCAAGAAAGTAGTGCAGTGCAGTCGGGCAGTAAAAAGTGATGCGAAAAACGCGCGGGACCATGGGGGAGAGAGGCTAACAGGCTCTTTCTCCCGGTTTTTTTCCCGCCATACCACCACTCTCTTCCCAGATCGCGCGCGTCTTATTTTCCCTTGGTGTACTTTAGTGGATTTCCACGTAGGGTAAAAATCCGTTCCGCTCACTCTCTTTGGTCTAGCCTGTTCCAGGCGTTCAAACAGCAGAGCGTGAAGTTCACAATAACAATAACAATGCTGGTTTATTCATGACGTTTAAAGATAAGTAAATAAAAAAATTAAATACATCATGAAAAGGAAACACGAGGTCAACCCTATAACGTTTCCCAAAAAAGGAATAAAAAATACGTTAAATTATTACCTATCACTATTTACATATTCAAAAAAGACTTTAACCTCGCTTTCAACAGTTTAAAAGATTCTGCTTCAACCACATATTGCAGTAAATTATTCCATTCTTCCACTATGCGAATGAAGAATGAATATTTATAGGGATTAACCCTTGCTTTTTTCACGCCTAATTTAATAGAGTGGTTATAGCTCGTGTCCTTTTATCTAGGGCGAGTTCGAAAAAATTACTAAACTTCAGGCTGTTTAAGCCCAAAATTTGTTTATAGCATTCTATAAGTGAAATGAAGTGTCTCCGCTTCTCTAAGGTGGGCCAGTTCAAAATTTTAATACGTTCCTAGTACTCCATTTCCCCACGCTTTTGTCCAAGCACAAGGCGAGATGCCCTCTTCTGGACCTTTTCTATTGCTAGTACGTCTTTTACTAGGTATGGGCACCACACTGGGGCTGCATATCCAAGGATAGGTCGCACTAAAGTTATGTACAAAATAGAACATGCTTCTTGATTTGTAGGTCCGATCGTTCTGTAAACAATGCATAAGATTCTACTAGCCTTGTCTACGGCAGCATCAACTTGAGCTCCCCACGTCAGGTCATAGAAAAATTCAAAACTCCCAGGTACTAGTTCAGATTGTGGTCAACCGCGCTCTACTATCTGAAGGCCAGGAACATGCTATGGCCTTCTCAAAGAGTTCCTATGTCTCGACAACTGTTGACTTTACAGAACTAAAAAACTAAATCTTCTTGGTTTACCTCGTGATAAACTTATGGAATCTGGTTTTCTAGTGAAGTCCGCCATCGCTGGGTTTTCCTATGCTGGATTCCAGATCTTAGCTGTTCTTAAATCTTACGTTTAACTTTACCAAGTTTCGAGAGGTTGACCATTATTGCGATCGAATCATTAGATTTCACTTCAAAATTGTCCTGCAGGAATCTTCTCGCAACGCGGCAGGTTTATCTGCTTATCTTCTTGAAACTTTCTTTGTTGCCACATCGACGTTCTCTTTTCTGAAAATACACTCCTGGCGAAAACTGTCCTTATGGGCAGTTCCCCTTAAAACGAGTGGTTGAAACCGGGCAAAATTGTGTTTGAGAATTGAGTGTAATCGCCCAGCCTTTGGCTATGGAAACCAGCCGAGTCTCTCGTCTTCCCACTCTTTCGGCCCTTGTTGAATTGATCACCTGTACCGGTCGAGATCTCACTAGTCGGGAGGACAGCCACTATAACTACAAGAAACTCCAGTGTCTCCTACAAACGCCTGACTAATTCACCTAACTGAAGCAATGAAGATCTTAGTTGTATGTAATAGCCACATATTATGTATGTTTACGAGCCCTTTCTAATGGATTTTAACATTTGTTTTTTAACTCTTTTCTTTCTTTTATTAGCCAAAATTAAGTAAAACGATCAACAACAGCAACTGAATCTTAAGTTGTGCCTGCAAGGTTCAATCATCGTTTTGCAGTCACAGAGCATAAATCTCAAAAGAGCATATGAAGAAGATGCTTCAAAGAAGACACAAAAAGACTACTCTTTAAAAATAGCAATTCTTCTGTCTTCGTTTTTAATGTTGGTCAGATATCAATTTTCCACATCTCTGTTCGTTTTTTGGGTTTGCTAGGCGTTTTACTTGAATAGCGAAATAAATCTCTATCAAGAGACCACCCTCTTTTTAGCGGCCAGCGACCAAGGTCCAGGAATAAAATCGATACAGTAATTTCCACAGGCATTTGAAGACTGGTTTGCAGTCTGATAGGAGCCTTTCAGGTTATAATGCTGCAGAGGAATTTTCTAACCTAAGGACTCGAAAATAGGCCTGTGCAGATAGATTTTCTTGCCGGGAAAGTACCTTTTTAAGTATACTTTCCCAATGGGTGAGGGTTCTTTCAAGTCATCCTCTAAACTCCCCCTAACCAATTAAGAAGTGGCCTCAGGCAAGCAAAGTCTGGGAGGTGCTTGCCCATTTAAGCCCTACTTATGGATAAGGGTAACGCAGCCAATCACATAGGATCGATTTCCGCTGCTCTCTTGGTCCTTCTCCCCTGTTCGTGGGAGGAGCGCAGGGTCATTTCCCGAACAACAGCTGGTAATCGAGCCTACTAATTACAGAACGAGAAAATACTTATTGACAACCTTGCAACAAAAAAATAGACATTGCTAAATAAGACAGCCAATTTAATAGCATAAAGATAAAAGAATATTTATAACTCTATAAAACTTATAAATAACTTCGCCAATAACTTAATAACTCATATCATCAAATGATTTTTTTGGCATATTCTCTCTCTCATTAATGAAAAACAATGGTTTTGAACCACTCTGCTATTCCAAAACGAGAAATTGTTCCAGCTTGGCGTGCTTTTCTTGGTAAGACGTGCTTTAAGAATTTCTCGTTTTGGGTCGGTCCGTTAAAAGTCTCGGTAATCTTACTGTTGCCGTATTTCATTCAACAACGAGGTTTTAACGGTTTGGAAAGTAATACAAAAGGACTACTAGTTAGGGAAACAAAAATCAAATTGCTTCGCAAAAAAAAGTTCCTGTACTTCTCAAGTAACAGGACCCAGCACGAGAAAAATACCTAATAGCTTATGATTCATAAACAAAATTCAAACAAAAAAAAAAGATCGTCAGCTTAAGTCTAATTTGACAAAACAGCGCCTATTTTTATCTCCGAATTCGCACAAGAACAAACACATTTACAAGACCCTAATACAGCCCAAGATCCAATGTCGTCACAGCTCTTTGACTTTCTCCAACTTAACACACAGTTCGCGTCTTATTAAGTCTAAATCCATTACGTTACGGATTGTGACTTACAATAAAACTTGAGAACGCATTAACATTAGAGAGATTTAGAATCGTGTTTATAGCAAACGGCAAACGTCAGATGTAAGTTGACGATTTCTCAAACTAAGAAATGAGCAGATAAAAACCGTCCAAAGTGATTTTTAAATAAAGGCTAAAAGGGTCCTTATTTCACGTCAGTGGCTCGAAATAGTCATGATCTGACTAACAAACCTGAGGTCGAAGGTGCGCTTAATTTAGTGCCCCCTCTCTCCATCCGTGTTACGTTTAACGGGTTTTCAAAGCTACTTAAACCTACTCGGAAAAGAGAAAAGTCGAAAGAGGGGTTTGAGATCACACCTGGAAATCGAACTCGGGACCTGCCGCACAGAAGGCCGCGCAAAAGCCAACTCTACCAATCCTTGCTCTTGTGGATAAAACTGGTTTGAAACTACTTATTTCTGTGTAGATATAAAGAACAGTAAACGGCAGGTACATGTTAAGGAAAAACCTGGTCACGTGGTACAAATAGACGTTTGCCCATTGACGTAAACGCGATATTAAATCGTTCTGTTGTCTAGCCAGATCTAGCTAATACTGGACCGCCTGGACTATGCTGCTATTTGCTGGTCAGAACAAAATGTAATTTGTTTCTTTACAAATAAATATTGCTATCCTACATTCAAAAGCAAGAAGAGAGCATAAACTGAGGTAATTCGTTCGGCTTCTCCAACGACTTAGGGTTTTCGACCTATCTTTGACCTGTACTCAGTTATTTAATACCCTTTAATACCCAATTCAGTTTTCGATGCGCCAACCGTGAGTTTGATACGTTCGTAAATAACCGGTTTCGTCAACAAAGCACATTTCATACCAAAGCAACTTCTCACTACAATCAGACGCTGTCCTCCTCGGTCACTCACTAATGTGGCTCTTTTGCACGTTTACAACACATGCTGAGGAGTTTCATCAACGAAACATATTGCAATCCTAAACAAAAGTTGTCGCTATAGTTCAACGCAGTCCTCCTCGGTCCTCACCAATGTGACTCTTGCACAGGTTGACACCCCCTTTCTATTTCTCCTAAAGAAAAGAATGTATCAACAAGACTACGCACCACTGCATGTCTTTAGATGTCATAACGACTATACTTCCGTTTTAAGATCATCCCGTCGTCCCGTCAACTGACCGATCAGTGAGGTACACTTGAGTAAAGTATCGACTTTCCGCAAAGTTTCCTCGATACTGAATCAGGGGTCACTTGAGCAACACAGGGGTTTGAAAACCAAATAAATAACTTTCCGAGGTAAAGGTCTACCCGAATCGCTCATAAGGCGCCAAGAAGAGAAAGGTATTTGAACAGAGCTCTAAATTCTCTAATTAATAAAAAAAATGCCAGCAAAAATGTATACACCCATAGACCTTTCGCTGACATATGCAGAAAATAAAATTGAACTGAGTTTTGGCGATCAAAAACATGGTGGTTGAATAAGAAAAAAACGACATTCTGAACAATTCGGGGAGCGCATTTGGTGACACCGAGCACTTTGCTAAGCACTCGCTATAATAAGTAAGCCATCACGGCGTTTGCAAAAAAGTCTCACCCCAAAATGATTGTCAAGTTTGCGCCTTTTGATATATCATTCACGTACAAATCTTTGAAAAGCTCATCGTGATTCTTGATCGAATGTGCAAGTGAATGAATTAAATAGGTGTTTTTCACCACTCTGTCTAAAAAATTTCTTCTACCATACGAAATCTCACCACAGGAAAAAATAGTAAAATGTTAAGGCGGGTCTATAAGTTTAAATCATGAGAGCTTTTTTTAGTTTTTTTGTGTGTGTGTTTTCCTTTACAGGTTAAGCGAAGAATTTCATGGGTGGTCAAAAGGCTGCAATCCCAGAGACTTTCATGTTTCTAAGAAACGATACGATTTATTAACAGTAACATTAAAGTCAACTCAGTCACCTGTTTTTTTTTCTTCTCACAACAACAACAACAGCTACAACGACTAACACCACCAGCAGAATGCCAACTCCCAAGCCAACTCCTAAGCCAACACGAGCAGCCAAATCTAAGTGGACGAAAACAAAGTTTCATTAGAAGACAAACGAAAGGCGGCTACTCTGGCATCTTGAAACAATTTTGAGTCGCCACACAGAAGTAAAGAAAGTAAGGGTGGGTTCCATTGACCTTATTTTTGAATAGGAACAACCCGCTCTAAGACAGACACTTTCGGAACCTGCCCTGACTGTCCATCTTAGAGAGGTGTCCGGCTTATCGAGAAAGTCGAGGTAACGTGACACCAGTAATCTTAAAGCGGACCCTATTCGCAGTGAATACACGTCTGTTTAACTCGTACAAAACTGCTAAAACTGAAACATTGTAACAGGAGAAAAGGAATTATTTCCCATTGTGTAATCAAACGTTCACGGCTTCGTGGATTCGTGGTGTAAAGGCGAAAGAGTACACACTCTGCGAACTGTAGGAACTGAAGCAAGACTACAAAATATCAAACATTTTGCACTTTACTTTCATTTAAAGCACCTATATTTTCGTTTTGAAGTATTTTTCACAACATAAATTGTCCGTTGAAGGTTTCAGAAGTGTCCGTCGTCCGTCTTGGAGAGATGTCCGTCTTGTAGAGAGTAAAGTTACAGTAAAATGACTGAAAAACGGCAGGGACCAACACCAAATGTCTGTCTAAGAGAGGTGTCCGTCTTATACTGGAGGTGTCCGTTAAGCGAGTGTTGACTGTACCCCTTAACCCGTTAATACGACCACGAGACCAGACCATAACCTCATCACATTAGCCTGTAGCAGTAAGCCTCTTTGAATCATATCATTCCACTTATAATTCAAATCTGACCATCAAAGAGCCTGATATCACGTACTACACTTACAGTCAAGCCTGGACAAACGTACCCCCCCCCCCCCCCCCCCTCCCCTTATAAGAGTAAACCCTTTTAAAACATATTTTTCCCCTTTAAATCTAAATCTACCCCTCAAAAGCCCCGTAACCCCCACTCCACATTTCAGCCAAAGTCTGAAAAACCGCCCCCCCCCCCCCCCATCGATTCCATTAATGAATTTTTTATTCGAAAGTTAAATCCATTGGTGTAGTTGTAGATTTCAGATTCATTTCTGCATTCTTGCATGCGTAATGAGCCGTGAATTCACGCGAAGCAGTTATGAAATTTCTACCAGCTCAGTTTCCCTGAATTTGATGTGAATGTCTTCGAGGCAAATTTATCCATTCAAAGATTTTCAATCTGACCAAATACAGAGAAGTTCTCGTTGAAATGTTCACTGCTCATTATGCATGCAGTAATGCCGATTTGAATTTGACACTAGTTACAGGAACGACTAACGGATTCATTTTTCAAATAATCAATTCATTTAAAATAGAATCTGGGGGGGGGTACGCTTGACCTGCCTTGACAGTAAACTCTCATTCAGAATGAACTTTCGACGACTTTCAGTTAGAAGGTTACAGTTTGAAACGCTGATTTCTTCACTTATCCTCACCCGGTATTCGACTGGTCGAATAAACGAGCTAAAACTGCAAATACCGTTGTGGCTGGGGACTCAAAAAGGTGGCCATTGGTTTTAATACCAGTCTGGTCCTATATAACGACGTTGCAGAATAAGGAAATAAACGTACAGTCGACTCACGATAATTCGATCCTTCAAGGGTAATAGAAAACAGTTCGAGTTATCGGGAGGTCGAGTTATTGAGGGTAAAATTATATGAAATACGATCTGAAGGGAAATGAAAATTGCTTCGAGTTAGCGGGAAGTCGACTTGACTTTGAGAAAAGTGTTCGTAATACCGGAGTGGTCGTATGGCAGAGATTCACTGCAACTAGAAGACTGACCAGATTTCGAAATCAAACACATCCAGCTAAAACAAAACGTGTTGTGATCCCTTACTACATCAAGTCTCTCAGCGTCTCCAAAAAGAAAGAAAAAACGCATGTGTGATAATCCTCGCGGATTACTCGCACTTTACTTTCCTCAAACCAACACGTCAGGTCGGTTTTGAAGTTCCTAGCCAATGCCGTTACAGCTTAACGGTCCAACTGCCGGATGTTCTTTTAATGTCGACTTTGAACGCCCCAACGCACCATTGGTATTTTGATTGACAGTCTGAGTGGAGCAAGTTGTAACTGCCACAAACAACTTGCTGGCTTTAGTCATGAAACTGCTGTGTCAGTTAAAACGCCGACACCTGGCCATTGTCGTTTGGCGAACCTGTAAACTGAATGGACGGGGGCTCTGATTGGTTCGGTCAGTTACATATCGATTGCCACCTGCCAATCACCGCCACAGTTTTTCCAGTCCTTTCGGAAGGAGAATTGACACCGATTCATTATAAAGGAGTAAATATGGCGATTTGTTTCTCTTTTTTAACGAAGGACTCGCTTTCTCCGGAGTTGCAAGCGTATCTTTTTTTTTTTACGTTTTAGAGAATTAAAACTAAATGTGGGAAAAGTTACGGCTTAAACAACCACGAATGACAATTTTGCGACCACACAAGTGCATGATCCGAGGAAACTTCTGCAACCTACGACAAAACTAATCTCGTTTGACTATAAACGTGTGCAGGAACAATTCCAAAAGAATCTTTCCGCCGTGACAGTAGAAACAGATTTTGCGTTGGGCAGTAAAATTGTTTACCAGAGTGGCTCTTAAACTTATCTTTCAAATAACTTTAAACACGCTTTCACTAAAGCATGTTGTTGTCGAAAGTAAATTTCCGGTTTTATGCTAAACCGAACTCGATTTTCATCGGGCTCTTATGGATTCCAAAAAAAGCGATCGAGCGCATATAATTTGGGGCTGCTCGGTAATTTAATTTCCTTCATCGGCACGGTTTTCCCTTTCTCTTTCCCTACCCTCACCCATTCCCCAACCCACCCCAGCCGCAAAAAATTCGCCTGCACTGCACGCTAACTTCCAGAAAAACCTCATTTAGTTCACAAAATTTCTTTACTTTACTTCTACTTTATCGCAACAGTGAATTAAGTAGTTCAAAACATAGCATTTTTGGCCTTTTTTTCGCATAATAAAAGATCATTTCAATGATATCTTAATCCAAATTTTCAATCTCGAGAGTAATCTGCGTAGGAACCTACGCAAGCACATTTACCACTCGACTCAAACTATTGGGTCGCGACGTTTTCAAGTTGCTCCACTCAGTCAAACTACCAATGGTGCGGCAAAAGGTTACAAGGTTGCCACAAAAAAGCCATCGGCTTTGATTGTATGAATGACAGAAAAGTGGAAGAGGATTAAATCTCACCTGTCTGTGGCGATGTCCCCGTTTGCGCCAACAATTCTTCGGTTGAAACCGAGGTAGACTTAGGAGTTGATCCTTTCCAACAAAAATGAAGAGAAAAACAGTGATCACCTCTAACAAAACGTAACTTATGCAAACAGTAAGAAGAATGAATAAAAACAAGAGCTCCAAGCATCACTGAGCCAGCAATAAGAAGCGAGGTAAAGGAAAGCAAATTGCGTATGTATATCGGCCACCCTCGTACAGAACAGAACCTACGGCCCACGTCCTACAGAACATTATACAAGTAAACAACAAAGTCTAACCATTTGCAGAAGTCAGTACAAAGGCAGCAGTTTCTTCTTAGTTATTTTAAGGCCCCTAAGAGATGGTAAGGCTGGAGTTTGAACCCGCAGCCTGACTCTCAGCAGACCGCCGCTTGTCAAATAGCTCACGTTCAATATATCAAAATTCCACCATGACTCTGAGGCTTTCTGATCATCTTTCCATATTTGGTTTGGTTTTTGTGCCTAAGCTTTTCATGAGAATTACAAGTCCTCGAATAGAGAAAAATTTGCAATTTCGCCACTAAAGCTTCTTAGTAATGTCTTATTCATCACAGAACGCTGAAGTAGACTCGACTGCGCAGTGGCCATTTATTCACGGATCGTCTAGCGTGACTTTTGAATACGCCAGGTCACAGTGCCTTTCGTGAGCGACTCCATATGAGCGCGGTGCGTATCATTTTGTTAACATCATCGCTGATACTTAAATAGCGCTCTCTCTTGTTAAAATTACATCGAGTCTCAAGTCAAGACGAAATAGGCTGTGTTTAAAATAAAACAATTAAAATTCTGTACATTTTCCGGGAAAGGCTTAAGAGTTCCGATGTTTCCTGTGAATCACCTGTGAGAAAACTCGTCGTGACGTCACTAGGGAGTTTGACTGATTGCAGTTTACTGATACAAGGCGACGCACGCGGTGTATAAGAATTCCGTTAACCATCACTTTCAAAACGAACCTAAGTGCAAAACCTTTTTGGTGAAAATGATTTTAATTTTTGCAATGAAATAAAACCTCATTTCATTTCAATATCTTCGCAGTTAGCGTCGCATTGGAACAGATCGAGGATTAGGGCAATGGCCTATTCAAACGTTAAAGAAGCTGGTCATCCTGACTTGTGTAGCCCGTTTTTCCATTTATCAAGTAGTGTTTAGGGAAATGTTGGCCTACTGAAACTCAAATTTTCAGAGACAACTAATTTTGCTGTGGTCTGTAACATTTACACATGGTGATATCAGGCTGATTGAGGAAATGATCAGACGATGCTAGAAAATAAATCATTCCATTAAGCAGGGCCTCACCTGCAGGCTTGCTTGGTTTCTTACTCGTTGATGGCTTTGGGCTACTGCCTGGAAGTAGCCATTGTGGATGAAGCGTTGTCCCATGCAAAATCAACGTCCAGTCGAAAAGAATTCCTTGCCATCAAACACAGAGATTGTTGGTAAATCAACAGAGAAAAGGACCAAAAAACAAGCAATAATAACAACAAAACAGAATAGACTTAACAAATCCTCATTTACAACCCGAAAAGGCTAGGCGAGAGTTTTCCGGATTCGTTGCAAATGCGGAGCATTTGGATACCGGATTTGTTTAGTCGTTTAATGGAGCACTAACCATAACCACAATTTTTGGTGATTATTGCAGGCATGAATGAAATTGGTTTCAATCCATGCCCATTTAAAAACATTTCAGCCTGCTGCCACAACCAGGGGCTCTTTTATGCGGGTTTTTTACTGTACAACAAAAGGGGTAAAAACCGGACAAAGCAGGGCAAACGAAAATAGGACGTTCCCTCAGTACTCCAACTTACACACCGTAAATAAATCTCGCAGGTTTTTTCAGTGGTTAGGTTGAATATTAGGGAGCTTAAGGAAAGGCGTTTTTGAGCGACGCATGTCAACTGGAAGTAGGTCCTTTACCCATAATACAGCAACACCCCGCGACTAAGAACCTGGATTTTTCCAAGTTACCCAAAACAGGCTCTTATATAAATGGTTATTAGCACAAGTCTAGAAAGAAGAAAAATGCAATATAGATAAGAGTATTTAGTGGTTCAGCTTATTCCTCATTTAAAATCTGCATACCAAATTAGAAGTTATATAAAAATGAACATAAAAAGAAGGACTGTATTTAATTTGTAATTGTATCAATAACAATTTTATTTGATTTAAACATTGGCATTTACATTGCAGTTGGAGTGATAAGGCACGTATGTCTCGAAGAGGATTCAGAATGTTGACTTTCTTATTTGCACAAACGAACAGAATTTTTTCCCTAGAACCTGATTCAAATTTTAGGTTAAACAGGTTCTCATATGGAGAGGGCTTACAACTGGCAAATTTTACCCTAACAGGTTCTTAGTCACGAGGTTTTACTGTATGCCTTGACGCGTCTAAATTTGTATTGCTAAGTGAGTTTGCTCTCATAGAGGCGATTTGCCCAAAATTGGAATCACACAAAACAGTCTGGCTGGGAAGTAAGCCACACGTCGGGTAGTTACCAGGGGCCCGTTTCTCGAAAGTCCCCGTAACTTTTCGGGTCCGAACTCAAATATTCAAATCGAAATATAAAGAATAAGAGCGCTGGTCCTGGCTAGCAAACTACTCCATTTTGTTCATTAACTGATAGTTTTATCATGTTAGATGCAAAACTATTGAATCCTCTATCTTGCATGTAAACCAAAACAGCTTTACGGGCCCGCTAATTATCGAGACTAAACTACAGTTTTCAGTGATTATTCCACGTTTACGTTCAGTCTCCACGATATTGCCAACCTACCCGTATTGTTATGATCCGGATGGGAATTTTCCATGGTCAACGTCCAAGGCCCAATTGACGTCTCTCCCCAGTTATGTAACGTCATGAGAACCCAGTTTAAGTCCTTTGCTCCAAACGCAGCATCAGCCTCTCTGTAGTGTGTAAGGTTGGACACAGTTCCCTCAGGAGACGTGAGCTTTATCAGTAACTCCCCACGAAGTGTGTAGGTCAAGTTGACACTGACTTCAACGTGCTCAAGGTAGTTTATTTTGTCGCCGCAAATATCTTCCCATTTACTTAAATCGATTGTTTCTTTGGAAGCCCCTCTAGAGCCGATACGACTGAAAGACAAGGAGATATATATGAAAACAAAAATTGAGTGTCAATACTAATCTCCTGCACAGTAATATTCGGGGGAGTTATTTTAACTCCAAAAAGGAGTTAAAGAACTCTTTTTCAGCAGTAAAAGTGACCCCATATATTAACCACAAAAAAGGAGTTATCCTGTACCTAAAATTTTTACTCCACTTTCAGAGTTAAATTAACCCCAAAAAGAGTAAAAACAACCCATGTAAGAATAAAAGTAACCCCATTTCGGAGTTATTTTAACTCCAGACTGGATTTAAAAAGAACTCTTTTTCAGGAGTAAAAATGACCCCAAATTCGGAGTTAAATTAGGATTTAAAATAACCCCAAAAAAGGGGTTATCCTGTACCTTAAATTTTTACTCCATTTTTGGAGTTATAATAACTCCCTAAAAATTTCGGTATGGTATTATGAAGCCCGTTGCATTCTATTACTTGTAATCCTAAACCGTTTATTTGTTCTCCTCGGTCACGTTCTTAAGCCACCAGCGGCCATATATGCTGTTGAGTCTAGTTTTTTAGTACTAAAAAATGAAGACATTGGGGTGGAATTTACACTACGCCCTACCGGTTAACGCTACGACGCGGGATCGTACAAGTAACAATGCTAGGAACTCTTTTCCATTTGACTGCAACATCTACCATCTGCTTAGCATCCATGAGACCAAACCCAACGTAGTCATTAACTGCATCGGAAAACAAGTCAGAGAAAGGACAAATGAAATAATAATAATAATAATAATAATAATAATAATAATAATAATAATAATAATAATAATAATAAAGATGACGATGACGATGACGATGACGATGACGATGACGATGACGATGACGATGACGATGACGATGACGATGATGATAATGATGATGATCAATCAATCAATGTCATCAGAACTCACGCTCCCGGTGACCACGGAGGCAGATTGCCTCAAGATTTAGCTGTCTAAATTTTCTCATGATTTATATTCATGTACGAGTATAAAACTGATTTTGTCTTCATGGCGTGTGGTAGCAGTGTAATTTGTTAAAAACCGCTGTTGGTAATTCACTTTAAGGGTGAATCTTTGTTTACCCGTTTTTTTTTCCCAGTACCATACACTCCTTGTTTTCTAATCAATACATAGCACAATTACCCTTCTCCAAAACGTTTCTGTACGAATTACCGAATACTGATAACAAATACCCTTTAAAATATGATATTAAAACCTCGGGATTTAACAAAGAATGCATGGCCTTAGCGCTTTTGCCCCCCAGAAATAACTGACTCTGACTGGAAAAAAGCCTGCATTTCATCAAAGTAAACACAAAGGTTTGTACCAATTTGGACTTAACATCTGTCTTAATACAGAATTCAAGCATTTACCTTTAAAACCAGCTTTATTGGTGTTCCAGTGGCCATCGTTAATATTGACAGGGTCTGGCCGCGCAGTGCGCACAATGATGTGCTGGACATCCCGCCAAGAGAGGTCTCCACTTAAAGCAAAGAAACTGTGTTACACAGAGCTGACAAATCTAAGAAACTCTCTTCCGACATTAGATAAGCTCTAACTCTAAAATAAAGGCCTTAAACGTAATTCTTGTGTGACGCGACTCCGGACATCGAAACGTCATTTTAACACCAGTAGGTCTGGTGATACATCTCAGGTCTTAACCCTACCAAGTACAAGTAAAATCGCACACAGGTAAATACCCAACCCGTGAAAGAACGTAACTAAAGCGACAGCATAAAAATCGCAACATATTACCTGCCTTGAAAACTAGTCCCTCTCTTTACATATAGTTTGAATTACTGCAGTGTTGGTTACCAGAGAAGGATCCAGGGGAGGGGCCCGAGGGGCCTTTTTTAGACCAAACTGAAGCCCGAAGAGCCGAACAAATTTATTTTGGAGATCGGACCCCCCTTATATAAAGGTCTGGATGACCCCCCCCCCCCACCTTATCTCAAGGTCTGGATCCGGCACTGGTTACAAAATACACATACTGAGGAAGATACCAAACGAAATTGACTTTCGTAAGACGGATATCCATAATCGTACAAGGAAATGTAAAAGCGAACAGTTAACACATAGTATCAAGGGCATATGTTGGTTTTATTGTCCACAATTTAAGAGGGAAAACTCACTTTGCACTCAGCATCAAGGCTATGAGTCCAGAGGCCATCGCTGCAGCGGCTGAGCTGGCACCAAAGTTCCCTGTGCAGGCCTTGTTTGTATCAGCAGTAATCTGTAAATTACAAATAAGATTTTAATGTTTGGCGTATTAACCTTTGCCCACAAAAAGTTAAAACATCACAACCTTGATTGAGATGACCAACAATAAATGAGTACAATATAATTTTTTTTTTTAATAGAGCAATTCATCAATTCTTCTATCATGTGAATTATTCATAGACCCCGTTTACACGGATCCAGACAAAGTTTTCAACACACGAGTTTGTTACCTGTTCAGACCGTCTACACTGAACCGCGCAAATTCTGTTGCAGATTACAGTACTTGTACCTCCACTTCCGGTTTTAGGTGCGATTTTGATTAACAGTTAAATGAACACGTGACAATGAGGAATGAACACATGTATTTTGATTCTTACGCGTTGAGAACAGTTGAGTTGATATTTCTGTGTTTTATCGCGTTGATTTAGTGTTCGCGTTTAACAGTCGACTCCACGACAGTACTATTTACACGAGTCTGACTTATCGACGGCACGTAATTTGTAGGGTTCAGGCTTTTACCGCGCAAACTAAACTGGGCAAAAACGCACACGGCTCAGGTGTTTACCCGAGTCTGCGTTAAAGTGGAATCATACACAGGTTAAAAATTTTGACCTAATTCTGATCAGGTAAAAAATTTGCACAGTTTACCGTTCGATAACGTGCGCGATTCCGTGCGTCCTGTGTGAACGAAAGGGGGATCCGTCTGCCCGCTCAAAATTTCTCCGGACCCTGGTAAACAAGATCTTAACTTTGTTTTGTTTTTAAGTTTTTAAGATCTGTCTCATCTTTTAAGTTTCGTTTTTGTTTCATTACGTGGGTCCTAGTGAGATTAGTCTGGATTTTGTACACATAGGTATTTTCCTGTTTTAATTTTTTGCTTTTACTTGTACTTGAATTTTTGCTTAGCTCGAGAGTTTGCTTAACGCCAATTTAGGAATATTCTACGCTTGCCATTGTCAGGTGCAGATGTACGTTTTACATGGATGGACGTGTTTGTGATGTTAGAGCTAACTTTGATTCATTAGTTGCGTTGAAGTTCCTGTTTGGGTTTGTTAACCGGCGTTTTAGTTTTTCATTGGTTTGTAGCTTCTAGTGTGCCGATCGCAACCATGTAGGAATAGCCCACACAGCCGCGAGTTTACCTTGTTTTTATTCCCACGGTCAGCTGACTCAAACATGTCCAGCTTTGGCTATAAAAACCATTACTATTTGACTTGTTAGTAAGAGAGTTAGGATTGAGTGGAGAGTTAGAGTTATGAGTTAGTTGTGGTTGTAAGAGCTGTAGAAATCAATACGAATAAAGACCAAGATGTAAGAAGTAGACTTGCGGTACCCCATCGCTTAGCTAGCCAGTTGCTCAAACACACTCCCAAAAGTTTCATAACTTGTTCGCTTTTAGCATGATGGTCACGAAACTTTGAGAAGTACTGCAGTTATCATTAGGCAATACCTTCTCTCTTGGCAATACAATAAAAACCTGCGTGTAAAAACCTAGTGGTATAGGAACCTGCTGAAAGAAATTTGCCACTTTAATACCCAAAAATTTATGAACCTGTTCAGCCAAGCAAAATCACGCTAGTTCTTAAACAGTGTGTGTGGGTTACAGCTAAATTATGATAAAAATTTTAACCAAGGAGTTCGACTACGAGATTGCAAATTTATAGTACAAGAAAATACTCAGTTCGTTCCCTAGTCGAGCCCCCAAACAATGTACAAATCTTTTATCCAACCATACTTTGATTATTGCAGCGTTTTTTGGGAGGGTATCGGCTCACAACTGGCTCTGAAGCTTCGAAAACTCCAAAACCGTGCAGCTAGGATCATCACTTTTTCTAGTTATGAGTCTAACTCCGGCCCTTTATTGCAAGAGATAAGGTGGGACAGGCTTTCCATACGCCGAATTAGGCTCCTTGCAATCGAAATGTTTAAATACCTTTGCCAAAAATCTTTCAAATGAGGATCATGGGTTTCTCTTCTAGATTCCCTTTGCCTCTCCCCAAAACCTACTATCAATTACCCGTGGATTTGCGTAAAAGAAAGTCGATGAATTCATTCAAATCTAATTGGTCAACTAGCTTGCCAGATTCTTTGGTTCTTTACTATAATATCTAGGTCAGTTACTGAGTATATTTTACCACAAATTTACACTCATATTTCTACTTATAATTTTTCACTCATAGAAACTAATAAAAGCAGCGCCTGTAGCTTTTAAAACTACCGTGGTTATGTCTTCTACTTCTTCTCTATCTAGAGAGCAATCACTGCCTTGAAACAAGAAATTACAAAACCTCAGTTTCTCTCGAATATTAACTGTTGTACTTCTATATAGAACTCATTAATTGACCTACCACTTCTCTGGTACCAAACATATCCTTTGTGTAAGTTACTGCCATAATGCCGGCACAAGGTTCTGCGAATGCTGGAATGGAACCGTCGCTCTTTATACCCGATATTGCAATTGTGTATATATTGTTCACATAACCATTGAATGCACAACTGTCTTTGACGAGGACACCTCCATTGCCCGCAGCAAACACGTAGATTGATCCAAGACCTCTACGTCCCTAAAAGTGTAAAAGGCTATAATCATTAAAAAGCGTAAGAAAAGATATACTGACCAAAGGTAATATACTGACCAAAGGTAATAACCAAAGGTGACAGAATGCGCTTTTGCGGGCGACAACGTTCGACGGTCAAAAGGCTTTTGCTTCACAGATAGAAGGTCCACACGCGCGTGATGAGATTGCGCTCTATGCATTCCATTCATTCTTAATGGAAGTGACAACGAGGCTGGCTATATTCCTTACTTGAAAATTGTGAAATCGACGCTGTTCAAAAGAGTCGTAAACCGACGTTTCGGCAATGCTGCCTTCTTCAGGGTATATGCATGCGTAGTAGCAACCTGGATATTAGGATTACGGGCTCCTCTTGTCGCCCGCAAAAATGATGATTATATCGACGATTAAAAATGATAATAATACTCTCTAGGATACTCCTATTAAGTCTGAGAATGCCAAAAATCGCACACTGTAAAACTAAAAAGATCTGTTTCGGTCCCAAAATGCCAATTTAGCCCCGTGATCGCAGAGTCTAATTTTGCCTCTCATAAGGCCATTTGACCATAAGCTGAACCCAAAAGGCTTAAATCACATATCCAGTCCAGCCCATTCTGGAACTCATTTCAGTCCAAGAGTCCAAATCAGCCTTAGAAAATTTAAATGTATTAGACCCAACAATAGCACTTCTTGTTCTTACTGAAATGGCACCATTTTGGAGGCCAAAAATAGATTTTTTTTGATTTACAGTATACTCAGAGCCGAAAAACGAAGACCTGATAAGCAGTTTTCCTGTGAATATATGAGGCCCACAACATTCGCGCTGGTTCACGCTAGCATTGCTAGTACGGTAAAGATTGGTTTCTTCTGTTATGTAACAAATCAAAAGAAATACAGTCGAAGCTATAGTAAGCGACCACCTCGGAAATTCAAAAACGTGGTCGTGACTAGAGCTGGTCGCTTACGAGAATGAGCTCTCGCAAGCGTACGCATCGTAAAACAATAGACGGTGGTCGCTTACGAGAGCTTCAGAAAGTCATTAATAATTCATAAAGAAAAAACAAAAGAAATTAATGCTTATATCTGATATAGACACGGCTAAACCTTACTTCTAATTCTTTAGAACAAAATAACCCCAAATCCAAATATTAGTGCCAGAATGAGTTGATCTAGATCACAAGATTTTGAAGCCGTTCAATAAACCCACAGTTCGTGTTTTAACGGGTGTTGACGGATGTATATGAACAAGACTCTGAGTGGTTGCTTACGAGAGCTTAAAAACAAAGGAAAAGTCCGATTGGGTAATCCCAAAAGCGATCGCGGTCACACACGAGAGCTTTTCATTACAAAGTTTAAGTCAGAGTTTAAACGGGGTTTCACAAAGGTGGTCGTAACTAGAGCTGGTCGCTTACGAAACTGGCTGCAAGGAGAGCTTCGACTGTATCTGAGATAGCCTGCGAGCAAGCTCTCATATTTGGGCGAACGAAGCGAGAACGCGCGAGCGAGCAGCGAAGCGATCGCTGAACTCACTCCCTAAAAGATGACTGGCAGAGGTAGAAAATATCGCTCAACCTCGTTCCCAGGGTTCTCTCCTACCCGCCCTACTTAGGGGTAGGAGAGAACCCTGGGAACGACGTTGCGTTTGAGGTAATTGGTGCAAAGCTGTACGTGTGAAAGTGTTGGATTGCCAATAGCATATTGCGAGCCGAGGATAAGTCGTACCGAGTTTGTAGTTCTCTTGGAATGAAAATCAGTACCCTTCATCAGTGGTATTCGTTTGTGTCAAGCGCCTTGTTTAGTTCTGGAAACGAGAAGAGAGAAAGTGAAGAGAGATTCAAGCGCCCGGTTCAAGCGCTGCCTTCCAACGTCGGTTTCTTCACCCGACTGAATTCCACTGAGTAGAAAAATTCAGAAACATGTACATGACAATGTAGCCTGTTTAGCTTGACCGTCAAGAAGTATAAGAGAAAGAGTAGGAAGCAACTGGTCTAAAAAGTAAGAAACCTAGTCCAGGAAAACGTTGTTCTCCAGTTCCGGAACGGACAAATGTATCGATGTTGGTGATTGCAACGGGGAGCCGTGGACGACTTTTCAATGTAAACGAAATAAGAATCAAAGTATCGAGTTCTTATCCGAGCGAACACATTGAAGTTCGTTGTCCCTTGGATAAAAAAATATCAGTGGTCAAAAACATTACTTTGATGAGTGGAAAGCTGTTGCAAAAGCGATTCATAAAAAAACAAATTCTACGCGCCCTCGGCTGTCTAATCTTGACAGGTGGTTGTTTTTTTTCTAATCTGCGGCCAACTGCGGTGACAGTTTTCACGCTTTGCAGTGTCCCGGGGTTTCCGGGGTGGAAATGAAAATTTATGAGTGATCGTTGCACGCTCTCCTTTCTCTCCCCTGCCTCCGGCTTTAGCATCTCCTCTCGCGTGCTTCTCGCGCGTCTACTTTTCACGATATCTCCCAAATGGAGAGCTTGCTCGCAGGCTATATCTGAGATCGAGGAACTAACCTTAATAAAATTCCAATGGTATTTGCCATATTTCCACCACCGGTTCATATGTTATTTAGAAGTAACTTAACTCACCCTTTCTGCGCCACTTTTTAATGCTCGTTGAGTCAAGGGACCTGGGCCCTCAACTTCAAGCCCCTTGCTATTTGGTCCCCAACTATTTGAATATATGTTAATGAGATTTGTAGCGTGGTTGAGAGCTCTTGCGGTATCAGCATCGGATGCTTTCTCCTTAAAAAACAGGCGAATGCCTTAAAAGAATAACCAAAGATAAATGCTTAGTGACAACCACAAGCAGTAAAGGGTCAGTAAAGGAGATGGTACCGGCCGCAGCAGTTACATCATGTCGCAAACGCTGACTGGGCCAAACGCATACACTTGAGAAAGACTAATAATCACACATGGTTACAACAAACCTAGGGTCAATTCAATAAAACTTTTACAAGTGTAATTTACAAGTGTAGCTATTGTTTCCGGACCCTAAAACAATGGCTTGAACTCAGCAGGGCCTCTGAATGGCTACTCTAGCGCTCTAACCGTTCGGCCAAGATGCCTCTTGTGTAGGCTAATGGTTAGTTACAAGAAATGTTTTAGCTTCTCTTTACTGCATTATGCACAAGATTTAGGATATATGACTTCATTTAAGAATAACAAGAGAAAGGTAGTAATCGACACCTACACAAAACTTACCTCCAAGCTTGGCATTGAATGCCAGTCCTACACCACATTCTCTGTTATTGGCCACAGCACAAATTACTCCTGCACTCTTTTCACCATGTCTAAATAAAATTTATTATTATTCATTCAAATATTTCCCCGATTGGCTAAAAGCACCCGCATTATTCACCACAACCAGCTACCGATGACAAAATTTGGAAGATTTTTGCGATTAATCAACCGATGACGTCAAAATTGCAGCGTCCTTGCAGGTTAATGCATCGTTAACCGAGAAGACCTGTGGACGAGGTTAAGTTGTGTTGGTTGTAAAAACAAAAATGGCGGACATTTCACTCGTTTCAAGAGTAAGACCTAGGCGAAATAATTGCTAAAAAAAATGGCAAGAACAGCAAGAAGAAAACTCGAAGGGCGACATCTGCTATTTGGAGACTATTTGCGGAGCTGAATAACTCTAAATGTCCACTATCGAAGATGAACTTAACATCGAGGGAGGTAAGCATGTTTTGCCGGTATGTTTTTAACCTAGGAATTATTTTGAATGAATAATAAAACAATTATTGAATTCAGCTTTCGTATCATATGAAGAATTATGGAGATTTCAGAGGGTGTTATTTCGATCTATAAAATAGCTAAGATAGTACGCGCGCTCTGATTGGCCGAGAGGCGTGTTTGCATGAGAGTATGTAAACATGATTGTGACGTCAAGATGTTTTGCTTTTCGCGCGCTAATCACGTATGCACGAATTTGAAAAAGTTTTTGAGTTCAAAACTCGACAAGGTTACTTTATTTACCCATTCCTTCGTCGGCTGAAAGTTGGAAAATCTTTACAAACAAGCTGTGTCAATTTTTTTTCGCTAAAGCTGACATTTTAAGCGAGAAAAATCCGTATTTTGGAAAGCATCTTTTTGCAGAACAAGAACTGATTACGCGTGCAAGACTTTGTGTACCAGACTTTGGGACTGGTAAGAATTTCTGTTTTAATCAGTGCCATAACAAAGAGTTGTTGAGTTTTTTTCTCGGTAAAGTTATTTTATAAAAGCAATAGAAAACTTTTTTCCCTGTGTTTGCATAGCCTGATATAAACGCTCGAGGGGTTGGGGGAATTCTCGGCGTTTATGCAAACCCTCGACTTCGTCTCGGGTTTGGATAACTGTCTCGAATTCTCCCAACCCCTCTCGTGTTTATATCAGGCTATGCAAACACGGAAAACGTTTTCTATTGCTTAACTCCATAATTCTTCTTAAGACACTCAGCCTCATTCATTAATTGGTAAATAATCACTGTAATTTTACAATTAAAATTACAGCTGTAATGAGACAGGATCAATTAGTAAGGATTCTTTTTTATGAAAAAAAAACAACAAAAAAAACATAAAAAAAAAACAAAAGTATGGCACCAAAACTAAACAAAACTTCAGAGTCTTAATCACAAGGACATCCCTAAATATAACATGTTACCAAAAAGACTATTGTCTAACACATTTAAAAGGTGCACGGCCATTTAACGGTCGAGACTCAAAGATGTCCAGCGAGCGTCAGCAAAGGTTGGATCAAAATGTTCAACTATTTTCTTTGCTCATTTAATACATGTTACCCCATGATTAAAAATTGAACACGTTGTTCGTCATAATTATACCCATGAAGCTGGTCGCCACTTGATGGTAAAGGAGAAGTGTCATTGTCGACAACATCTAAACTTGCGCTTCCATCCTACAAATTAGAGTGCAAAGAAAATTAATTTTACGAACTAGGATGTGCTAGCCTCCCACGCAGACGTTCTTAGGGGTTCTTCACGCGTTGCTGCCCCACAAAGGAACGCGTGACGAACTCCTAAGAACGTCTGCGTGCAAGGCTAAGGATGTACTTGCTAATTTTCACAAGAAAGGTTTTGCACTTAGCCTCGTTTTGAAAGTGACAGTTTTTGGAACTCAGAAATAGCCTGATAAGCAAGTGAAGGATAAATAATAATAATAATAATAGTAATAATTGTAATTATAATTATAATTGTAATAATAATAATAATAAGTTTTCAGCCTTAGGCTGTTAGACAAGGCTTTCCGTGTGATGCAAGGTAAGTAAGGTGAAGGCGCACACGAGCCAAAGGCCCACACGGCTGGAGCTTATACCGGTTTCCGTAGCATGAAGCAAGCCTAGGAGTATTGCTACTCCCCCCCTGGACGGGATACTAGTCCATCGTAGGGTTAGCCCCCAGCAGTATGGGGCCTGTACCCATTTATACACCTTGGTGAAGAGAGACAAAGTGGAGTAACGTTCCTTGTCTCAGGAAACAACGCGACGGGCGAGGTTTGAACCCAGGACCTACAGATGTAGAGTTTGAGGTGTTAACCGCTCGGCGACACACGCCTCCACTTCCGTGTGATGAAGAACAAGTTAAAAAATGCTAGTATTTGAAGTTGATTGATGATACTCGTTGTAAAGGGAGAACTGCCTCAAAGGATTAACTCATCATTCAAACAATGCACCAAACCTTAACTTTTGTTTATAAGAAACCAAATGTGAGTAGTAATGTAGAGACAAGGGAAGTGCTGACCTAACTCAAGATAGGGGCCAAGGGTTTGATTCTGGACAAGCCGTATTTTTTTTACTCTTATATTTTCCAATTTTTTTTTTCTCTTGGGTTTTCCCCCGTTATTTCTTCTCCTGGGCCCAGTTGTTTGAAGGCCAATTAACCCTTAACCCCGGGTTAAATTTAACCCGGGTTTCATTTTCCTTTTTCAAAAGCATTTTCTCGGATAACTTTCTCTCTATTTTTGAGAGCATCCAATCATCAACTTGTTGACAAAAGAATTAAACTGAATTTACTTAATTTAAGCTTTCATATCTGAATTTAAATTTTTAACTAACCCTAGGTTGTCTTAACCCAGCTTTGAACAACCCGGACCTGGCCCTTTACCTGGGCTTTGCGTTACACATATTTTAAGTTTTTTTAACAAGCCCCCTTTTACGCACACATGGATGATACGAACACTAGGACATGTCTGTCTCCTCGGGCTCCGTATTAACCAGGTATCACACTGTAGAAAGCCCAACAACTCGACAATCTTTATGAAAAGTAGGGGACTGAAACAATCTCATATGTGTGATTCTCCACTTAAAAATCCTCTCATTTGTCAAATACTCTCACAAGTCTATTGGTATTACTGATACAGTGTTTGTGCCCTCAGAAAGATGATTAAAATTTATAATAAGTCAAACATAGATGAACTAAAAACTGAATGACTAATTTAAACATTTGCAGAGTTTAAAATGTACTGGCTTACCTGCAAATAGTTGTCATAAATTTCAGGATGTTGGGGGTCAAAACCTTCATCTACCACAGCAACAACCACTCCCTTGCCTGTAATATTACTGTTCCAGGCGTCAATCACGTTGTATGTAGGTCCATCAGCTCTATTCTGGATACAACAAAAAAGCTTCCCTTGCTTCACAACATTTTCTTTAAGCATAAAATGTAAGAAGAGGACAATTATAGCATTGCAATCATAATCTAAATTAGAGTTTCTAACAAAAACACTGAATTATATATACATGTTTAGTGAATGAAATATTTTATTCTCATGATCTCAGATGAAAGTTGCAAGGTGATGGTTCTAGCTCATGTTATGTTCTGATGGTTTTAAGTCACCTGCACAAAAAGGTTCCTTGTGAGATGCCATCTGTAAATAACGCCAGCCACAAAAAGGTTAAGGTAGGAAAGTACTTCAAAAAAGGCTAACAATGTATATAGAACTAATTAACCAATCAAACAGATCCAACACCACCCATCAATGCTGAATGATAATTATATTTGATAATTAATTTAAGGAGCCCTATTTTCTACAAGCTATTTAGCTTCTATTGGGCTTCCTCGCCACTCTATCTAAAAAGTGCAATCTTAGTAATAATATATATATATATATATATATTTTTTTTCATTTTTCGTTTTGCAATGTTTATTCTATGTGACAAATGTAAAATAAATAAATAAAAATATATTGGACCAACATGCTGAATCCAATAAGAGTTTGATTTGCCCTGAATTTCTTGGAACTGCATTACAATAAAAATCATAACCAGTTGCACTTACAATATACCACATATCAGGCCACCTTCGATCATTGAAACGATAGACTTGTGACTCAGAGAGCAACTTAAAAGACTTCAACAGTTGCTGTTCAACCATTTGAACCTGAAACGAAGTGATAAAGCCATCACTCACTGAATTGTCTTTAATGTCTATTCTGACTCATAAATTAATGACATTGTGATGAAGCCACAAAAGTAGTAATATGGTCTCACTTAGACCAATTTATGCAACTTAACTCACTGCTAAAATAGAATTCATGCATAGATTATTGACTAGATGCACAAGGTCTATTTGGGGTCAAGAGGATGACTTTAAGATGGGTGCATGTGACCTCACTGATGCATGCAACAGGATACCATATTCTCTAATGACATCTTAAGCCATCCTCTTGCCCAGCAGGTGGTAGCCATTCGTGAGCGGGTTGGAGATGACATCATCAGTGATCACCAGCCCTTACCCTTTCCACAGCTAAAAGACAAGAACTTTGAAAGATACGTACAAGACCCCACAGGGCACGAAACTTGTCAAATCTCCACACATATATCAATATATTTGCAGTGGTTCTTTCTTGCCTTGCTTACAAAATATAATTCATTAAGTAGCCAGGGATGAAAAATTCACAGCACATAACGACTTGATCGGGATGAGCAATCATACAAATTAAAATATCCAAGTCACAGCCTCCTTGGTAAATAAACTTAGTGTAACAAGTTGCGTTTTTCCAGCAACTACCAGAAGAATAAAATAAACAGGTCCTATTTTGTTTGTTTCAGCATCTACCCGAGTTATCTAAACCATAAATTTTCAAATGTCATTTTACTTCCAAGCCATGCTTAATGGATTTAGTGTTCCAGCATTACATGTACCTTACTAAAAACACTAATAATATAATTCATTGCAATTTCTGTCAATAACTGAAACACTGGAATTCACTCCATAATAAAGTTATTAAGTGAAAGCACATGGAATTGGAAAAGAACTGAATGTTGTGAGCCCACAATACACCTTTTTAGAAAAAGGGACATTTCACTCCACAATATACAACGTTACTTTTGGAAAAACGCAAGATGGCGGACGTTGACATGTTCACTTCGTAGAGTTCCTTGGTTGTTTATGCAAATTCATCTACAAGCTTTATTTAATCGCACAATACATAAAAGTAGGATGTGTTCTGGTCACCAACGTGGTGACAAACTTTTGAACCTTAATTTTTTGGTCACCAGCATATGCATGGTAAACTTAGGCACATCAGCAACTGAATCAGGCGCCATTTTGAGCATTGTGCAAGCCTATCATGATTCCTTGAGTTGGAGTGGAAAGGAATTCACTGGTCATCAGTGGGTTGCTTCATGGGCACTACTTAGCTACACTGGAGGAAGCCAGGAGAGCCAAACCATTCTATGATCTGAAAACAATATTTAAGTAGGGGGAGGGCACATCACCCCAGGGTCCTCCATGGATCTGCCTATTCAGCCCCTATAATGTACATGATTGTATCCTTACTACCATGGTAACTACTATTACTGCTGTACTAGGGGACGTAAAAAAATACCCATGTATATACTTTCTACAGCTGGTTTGCTGAATCACATTTTAAGCCATGCAACAATAATATGTGTGCTTTGCAAATTTTATACCAAAATAATTTAGGTTGTAATCACCTGTATGAAAATTTATTTGGAGCAGAGAAGTGTTGTTGAAAATAGCCTTACCAAACCCCACTAAGAGGAAGGTGGGTCTTCAAAAGAAAATTTAAAGGAAAATATATAGCAAAACTGGAATTTCTGAAGGGGATGGGTTCAAGCCAAACACTCAAGCATGGATATTTTCTTAAACAATGCAATCTACAGTTTCACCGTCAGTACTATACATACGTTCACATGTTATTATAATTGAGATCACATCACTAGTATAAAATATAAAATGAAAGACTGACAATTGAACTCCAAAAATTAAGTTTAAAGTATTTACTTTCGGTTCCATCGAAAGCCCTTCATGAAGAGAGGCACTGAAATGTCTGGACTCTCTTTTCACCTTCTGATTTTGAAAACTGTAGTAGTCATCGATGATCTACAAAAAAGAAAATAACAATTAATTACAATGGCTTCCTCTAAATATAAGTTAAAAAAGTCACCTAAAACTTGTCTTTATAAAATGATGTACAAGTTGATCATTGATCATTTAAAATTGAGACCTTGAAGGGAGTTTATTTAGCTAATTACAGCTGGGTGCTTTACATGTGAGTAGCAAAAAACTGAGTAATCAGTTTTTCATCCAAAAAATTATGGAACAGACATACATTTTTGATATTAAACATTTTGTCAGCACCACAACATTACATAACCAAATCAGTAACTCCAATCTAGCTGAATGTTTCAAAGTTATTCAGCTAATTTGTGCATTGGCAATATCATAAACTTTTCTACCTTAAAGCTTCAGCTAGATGTTTTTTATTTGATTACTGAATGCTACTTTCAAAATGTTTTGAATTCAAGGTCATGTAGCATCCACCAGGAAGACAGGAATTACCATAACTTCTTCAAAACTATCCCCACAATTACTCTGTTAGTGAAACGTGGGTGAGTAAGATAAGTCCGTGTGGAGGGAAGGGAGTCCCAGAGTGCTAAAAGAATTAACTCATTGTCCGACTACACTCCCTTCCCTCCACAGGGACTTATTATACTCGTCACCAGGTGCCCCGAGCTCAGTGCCAGTTTTGAATTGGACCATGCCAGTTGTGTGATCCTAATAGCTTCAGGCCACCACTTTAGTAGCTTAACGTACGAGTTCCACGGAGCCTGCTGGCTTCGCATAGCTAGCTGCAGATGCTTCAGTGGATTTGTAGTTTAGAGAAATTCATATTCCAGGAGCTCCACATGTTTATTTAGCGCCTGGATTCGATTTTCGTGAAAAAAAATTGTGCTGATTTAGGGTTGATTGGAGCCCTGACGCTGCCGTCTGCCTCCTACCTTGCCACTTTACTATGTTGGAAAGATGAGGGAGGCTATTTTTCCCAAAACTTCATGTGCATATTAAGGACAACAACAACTTGACACATTGTAAGTTTCATCTGGTCTAGCTATTACTGCATTGGCCATGGTACCACATGGATGGTATGAGCAGGTGAGGGACCTTTCACTTCATAATCACTCCATTTTTGTTCCCCAGTACATGTAGGTGGGGGATATAATAGAAATAACAGTCTTTGCCTCCCTAACCGGGCAATAAGTGAGGCACTCACTTTGTGGTCAGTGTTTTCATTTTCGCACTGTATTCATTTTCATATTTCCTTCTCAGAACTAAGAAATGTGCTTTGCAAAGACTGTCTTTGAAGGCCGCTTACATAATTAGACACATCTTAAATAAGACACAAACTTTACCATTTAATATATACAAGCATATAAGGAGTGTCTTGGATGAGTCACAAATTATTTAAAGACATGAACACATTTTTTGTGCCATTTTCCAAGAAGTTCACAACACGTGGCTTATTTTTTCCTGTATAATTAAGTGCTCCAATTAAGTAGCTGTATCATGGAAATGACAAGAAAGACACTTATAATCATTGAATCATTCTATAAAAACTCCAGAAGACTGAAAAACATGACTTGTAATTTTTTGTTATCTGGGCTGAAAATAATGGCCAGTCAATGGACAATGTCTGGCCTGATCGCAGACTTGACTGGTCAAATTCTCGTCTTGCTGGTCATTTTGACCGGTCATTTTTAGATACGAACATTTTATTTTCCATACAGTTGTCGCTTAATGCATTTTGCTCTATAATGCTGAAATGGTTTCCTTTTAACTTTGGCGTTTTTTGCTGCCTTGCACCAAAACCTTTTAAGAAAAGGAACACTGCAATACATTTCATGTCATCATGTCTTAACAACAAAGCAAAACAACAACAAACTGAGTTGTGGAGTAATGCAACGATGCAGGTCGTACTATACTTTCTGCTTTGCTGTAACCAGTGATGTGAGAGCTTCTTTGGGAAAACATACACTAAAGATAATCCGTTATCTGTTAGAAAACTAAAGGAAAGTTAACCGTTTGGTCAAATGCACTGACAAATGCAAATGACATTCAGGCTACGTTTCTTCTTTGGGGAGGAGACTTTTGATCACGTGCCAGGCAACAAAAAAGATCAAGTTTCACCGATGTTCATTTCTGAACATCCATGCAGACAATAGGACGCGAAACAAATGTGTGCAGATTTTGTTCGTTAATAACCCAAATTATTTTTTTCGTAATTCCTAAAGTTTGTTTAACTGTATGTGTATTGCATCTCCTGAACCTCGAGAGTTTGAAAAGGATTTACGCTTCACTTTTTACCTTTAGAGACAAGTTTTAGACACCGCCGTACGATGATAGTTAAGGTAGAACGGACATTAAAATGCGCAAAAACCGCAGAAAGGAACTGTGCAGCGTGTGAAAACACTTTTCACCAACCTCCCCCCAAAAAGCAGAACGTTAATGTTGTAAAACAATCAATTGCCAGTGCAGTTCAATATTCCTTAGGCCAAGAAAAAATTAGCATTCATTATTTGACCGGCCAGAATCGAGGTTTGTCCGGGCTAAAAAATATTTGGCCAGTCATCATGACCGCCGACCCGCTGTCTGTTATTTTCAGCCCTTTTATCTCATATTTTGTGACTTCAAGTTGTAAAGTCTTCAGATAGTCTTCATTTTTTCAACATGTTTTTTAACAGCTATCATCATATCATTTGTCATCCCTTGTTACGTTTGACGATAACAAGATTAGTAGACAGTTTTAAAAAAGGGAGGACAGTTGTGCCTTGTACGTAGGACATATGGAAGCAAAGGGAGTTCATCATTCACTTTGGCCCTAGAGAGCGGAGAATTAAATTGCTTTCACTCGCATAAAAAGTGAATGCCCAAGTCAGCCCAGAGAGGGTGGTTGGGGAGGGGGGGTAGGGGGTACAAGGGTGTCAAGTGACAAGTGCATAATGAGTTCTGCAAGATGAAATTATATATCTCCCTTCATTGTTTGATATCGATTCTCAAAACAATAAAGCTGTTGGCTTGTCATGCCCTGCACAGGCTAAAATACTCTTAGGGTTTTACGACACAATTTTTTCCTAATTCATTAATTATTCATATTTGTCATACATGCAACAGATCAATAGCAATCTTTGACAGCTAGCTACGTTGTAGCTGCATTCAGAGTGGGTTTCACCATCAAGTCATCTTGGAAAGATAAGCAGGTTTACTTTACATTTTCTATTAATTTCATCAATTTCGATCGTCCACTTTTCCTCAAAAACGTCGTAAGTTTCAAGCTTTTGACAAGACCGAGCGTTTATTGTGGATTACGGAACAAGAACACTACCTGACTGTTCGTCATCGATAACTAGGGATGTGTGAATCTACACTTAAAGAATGTTGTCAGAAACTTGTCATAATATTGAAAACTGCCGCAATATCGTAGTACCTACCTTGCCGTGATTTACAAAGCCATATTTTCGAGCCAGTCTATCAGCCTCGTAATTGTCGCCATCAATTTGCACTGTCCATCGATTAGAGTACTCCAGAGCATTTGAACCGAAAATAAAAACCATAAAAATCGTAAAAAATAAAGCAACTGTTGAATTCATAGCCTTTTGAAATAGGACTATCTACAACATTAGTTAAAAACATGGTTATACTTCCGCGATTAGCTGTTTCTTGTTTTTGAAAAGAGAGGTTACAAAGTTATCTACGATGGAGAGTGGGGTTCGGTTGCCCTATTTTATTATGTAGGGTGAGGAGGGCAAAATGTGGTGCATCTTGAATTTTCTTGATCGTTACTTGGAGAACCGAGTACGCTTACCTCATAAAATTTTACGAACAAAATTTAAGCCATTGTAATAAATTCCGTATCTCAAAGGCGCGGCGCCAGCCTCACTTATCCTCCCTCCTGGACTTTTATTCCCGGGGGGATACTCCTGGGAATTCTTCGAGGGGGTGCGCCGCCCGGTTCTCCAAATCCTGACCCTACTTCAGACAAAAAAAATGTCATTTTCCACGCCTTTTTTCTGACCTGGGGCCCGTTTCTCGAAAGTTCCGGTAACTTTTCGGGCCCGAAGTCAAATATTCAAATCGAAATATAAAGAATAAGAGCGCCGGTCCTAGCTAGCAAACTACTCCATTTTGTTTCACTAACTGATAGTTTTATCATGCTAGATGCAAAACTTTTGAAACCTCGATCTTTAATATAAACGGAGACGGCTTACCGGGCCCGTTAATTATCGGGACTTTCGAGAAACGGGCCCCTGGCCTCTAAAATCCATACCCGTTTTCAGACCTGGAGGTAGTCACAAAACGCAACATCACATGTTTACATAAAACAGAAATTATGTCATCATTGCTGAGATTAAAACCGCAACAAAACATGACAAAAAGATTCACCGCTTAAAATACATTTCGAGTTCTCATGTTACACTTTCTTTCTTATTTATTTGGAATTGAAACGACGAACACATTGACACACAACCGTAGTTCCTTCGTTCCAGATCAAAATGAGCAAGCCAAAATCTATACTAGTTTTCAGACTAAAACGGCCCCAAAACCCTACCCGTTGGGTCGGCACATACCCATACGGCTTATATAAGGGAGTACCCCCCGCCGGGCTTTTGTTTCACCTCTCGCGCGTTTTTGGCTGACGCAAAAAGTACGGGCTGTTTTGCAGTCTAAAAGTCCAGCGAAACTGAAGCTCGTTGGGCTTGTCCAAGGTGGACATTTTTAATATTGTGGTTTTTACGCACACATATGCCTAGTAGTGAAAAAGCTCGCGCCCGGGGATAGTCACCCTCGTCGCCCTTTTTTGGATGTCACGCAACGCTCCCCCAAAAGAACGCCGTCCTTTCGGGGGAGCGTTGCGTGACATCCAAAAAAGGCTGCGAGGGAGACTAGCCGAGGGACGGATAAGCGCGTTTGGCGCCCAAGACATTTCTCCCGTACTTTTGCCATTTTTGTGTCGGTGATCCCTTACTCAAATATTCTTAGTACCTAAACAGCCGATCACGGAAGTGTCTCCCTTACCTTTCATTGCACCACAGGCTACAAATTGTAATGTTTACCAAAAGAGGCTGTGAACCACGATATTGACTTTGTGAAGGCCGGTCTCGGGGTGTTCCGAGAAAGAAACCAAACAACGACTCAACAACCCGCTGGTCATCCTCAATGAGGAAAACGACGGATATAGTTATAAGAATACCTACCCCCAATCGTTTTTCTTCGTTTTGTCATGATTTATTTTACTGCACGATATAAAAAAATGTTTTCTGGCAAGAGCCATTATGGCTCTTGTTTTCTGGTTTTTATACCCTGAAAATATGTCGATACGGTAATATCATAGACCCATCACCCTTTCTGCATCTTTTTACACCTCTTCCGAAGCTAGCGTGTACACAGACGTTGTTTTATTTTTCTTTTCGTTTTTTTGGAAAACATCGGCGTGTGCGAAAGGGAGGCTAGTTCGCAAGCGAGGCGAGCGAGAGCGAGCGCGGAGCGTGAGAAAGAAAAAAAAAATAACTCCGAATCTGATTTGAAGCTCAATTTGTAAACAGTCCTCGAAATCCAGCACATTTATTCCCTAAGTTCGCTTTATTCTGACCACCGTTCTAACTGCTTTAGAGTTGCTTTCACAATTCATTTTGTTATCAAAACCCCCTAGTGTAATCCAATCGGACCCACGTGGACCAGCCATCAACGTTTTTTCTCTCGAGTTACAAAACCACTGAGTGTCTACACTTTGATTTAGCCAACAATTAATATTAATAGCTCAAAGAATCAAACATTTCCACGCCACCTTTTTTTCAATTCTGTAAACAATTTTAAGTATTTTTTGTCTGGGACAAAAAGGAAATTTGTTATAAACATTAAACTTTGGAGTTGCTCTCTGTATTTCCTGTTGTAACTTCCAATTTATTCAAAGGGCGATTCTTATTCTTTTTGAGCAGTGTCGTTCTGCTTTAAGAAAAATGAAATTGGTGTTTTCGATTTGATCTGATAAATATAGCGGGCTATCGATAAAAACTTCCCCTTATGATCCCTTTCCCACTAGACATTTTCGTTTCCATAAAAGGAAATCCTAATAACATAATAAGAAGATGGAAACAGAATAAGTATTGCTTAAGCGCACTAAAAGCAAAATCTCCCTTAACGCTAAAGCACGTATAAGAGAAGAAAAACGAAATTGTCGGTCACGCTTTTAGTTGCGGTCATACTAGACAGTGACGAAAAGAAAATATTCGTATTAAGCTTAGGCAGCAAACACGATTACATCTGCCTGTTACATGTTGTTTAAATTAAATCTCTCTGCATTTTTATATCTACCATTCAATTCGAGAGCAGACAAAATAACTTCTACTAAAGTGCTTATCCCATCTAACAGTGTCAGAAGAGTGGGTGGAAAGAGAAAACTCCTGATTACGATTGTCGATAACACTAAGAAAATAATCAATGAAAGTTTGATGATTAAACTGCTCAATTTAGGTAAAACTAAAGTTCAGCTTGGATTCCTAAGAATGCCTACTTCTAACCCATTCCAGGCTTGAAGATAGTTGTGCAGTCGTGCAGTAAAAAAGTGATGCAAAAAAAGGGGGTGGGGGGGGGGATGGGAAGAGAAATTGTTGAATTTTGAGCTTGTTTACCAAATTAAAGCCTTCCCTTTCAGCTTCCAAAAGACGTACCAGCAAAATATAACGAAAAAAGTGAATCACTGACCAATAACTGACGGGAGATGAAATGTCCTTGTCAGGTACGAAATTGAAAAACTAAAATACTTGGCAACCTAAAGTTACAGCACTGTATTAACTGCCAACTGAAGACAAACCGCCAACATAGGACAGTGGAAACACCTATAAATTACGAAACTGACCGCTTGGTCTACTTAAAACGTTCTTCACGCAGATTGCTTCCTAAGCAAGAGGTATTTCTTCATCATGAAGGTAAAAACGTACACTTGTAGTTATACTTTAATTCCTTTCCATTACTGTGAATCGAAAAAGTTCTTTAGGTATGAAGTGTCAAAAAAGGGAGTCTTTAAGTACGTTGTCTTAAATTGCCATGTTAGTATCGCACGCCCTTTTTGTTCTTTAGTTCTGATCCATCTCGACTTCATTTCTCGGCAAGAATATTAACCCCAGTCAGGAGTTGTATTTTGAACATACACGTATCTTTTCACTGACAAACCAAATGGAACATGCTTGCCGCTTGTACGTAAACTGAAAGCCATTTTGCTTGTTCTCTACAGTTTCTCGTAGCTGTTGCAGTACTCAGCCTGGCTTATACAACCCTAGTTCCAAGCATATTTGGGAAGGTGAGTTAATAGAATGCAATTTTCTGGTATTTTTGACTGAGAAAAGACAATGTATCAAAAAGGTTGATTATCGATATCAGGAAGCCTTACGGTATTCCTTTAATACTTTAACATTTTATATTTAGATTGCAATATTGGTGGCATACTATAATAAATACCATACTGCGCGATGCAAACTCAGTATAGCAAAGTACTGTTCTAAACGAACGAGCGGAAGATCGCGAGTTTAATTCCCGGGGTCGGAAAAGTACTCAGTAAACTTATATTACGATAGCGGTCCCGTCTCCAGTACGGGCCTAAAACGTTGACTCAGCCAGTACTTTGGTGTGAAATAAACTGACACTTAAAGAAGATGGTCTCATGAATGTTACATGTTTTTTTTTTTTTTATCTTATTTCAACTATGTTTCTAGCGTGAACATCTAACAATGAATATCGAGGAGGAGGGAACGACTTTTGTACAAGAAATTGAGATTGACGTGAGCGAAAAGATGGAAATATTTCGAGTTCCATCTCACAACGACGTCGAAGGTGCCGATTACTTTCATGACTTTGAAAAGGTTGGTGTTTGAGCTATCCCGGCGTTACAACAGAGGACATCGAATACTTGTGATAGAATACTTGCCCGTACCCTGCGAATGGTGGTTTCACCAGGCCGGAAGCTTTAACGGAGAGAAACCACTGCGAGCGCAAATTCCTGACAGGCAGTTATAAGCGTAAGCAAATGCGCGTGAGCTCATGGACGGCGGCTCAATCAAAGGAACAAACGTTCCCTCGCAGTGGTTTCTCTCGGCTTCGTAGCGTAGCGTCGGGGCTGGACAAACCACTGCTCGCAGAGTAACACGCCAGGCGAATGCGAATTCGTGACTTAATTGGAAAATGCATGCTGATTTTAAAGGTCAAAAGTTGATTTGCTCCTAACTATTGTGTTCATGTTTAGCGTGTGACTGCCACCAAGATTCCGTCTCAAAAAGTGTGCCATATTTCCGAAATGGATTCATCGCTTTCATCTCCTCGCAAATTGAAGGCGGACATGAAAAGGGTAAGGTGCTTCATTTGCACAATTGTATCTCTTTTGTCACAGAAAAACTTTTGCTCTAATCGGGGAATTTTGCATTTGTTACAGGGGTTTATAGAATATGATGGTTACCCGCCGGGTTTTTGGAAGGGTCAGGATCAGTTTATAACTGACAAACTGCCTATGATTCATCCGACAGCTAACGCCCGGTGTACTTCTTGGGGTCCTACACTAGTTCCGAGTGCTTTAAACCCTTGTATTTTGCTGAAGACGTGTACCGTGAATATGTTTCTTAATCAGTTAAATGTCTTTTTCAAATGGACGAAAAAAATAGTTTTATATAGTTACTTTTAAAACAGTGGCTCTATGATTATTGCAGTTATAACTATACGTATTCCATTACCTACAGGCGGCTTCTCACCTTAACCAACTTCCTGTAAGAACCCAGCGAAGTCTGGTCATGGTGACTGGTCCTGCAAACAGAACTCTTCTGTCAGATAAGATTTTGAAGTTTTGTGGAGCCTTGCCAATTTACAACACAGAAATGGTTGGCAATCCAATCTATGAAAATGGAGACGCAAGTAAGTCAGCAATACACTGATTCCATAAAAAAGCGAGGCTTAATAGCCCCCTTGAAAATAGCACTGATGAACGGAGAGAGCATTGAGTGAAAGAAAGTGGTAACGGCATGAAATATTGAAAAGAAAAACCGGTTCAAAATACTGTAGAGCTGCGAACTGTAACGATCGAGAACAGACTGAAAGTGGACCTGATCTATCATTTACAATTCAACCTTTGTTATTACAGCTTTTAGCTGCACAACTGCTTTGCGACCAGTAATTTCATTTCTTAAAAATCTCCTTTGCTGAAATAGCTGTAAATTTGTCCCGTATTTATATTTACGATTCCTTTGTCTATCATTTTCTCTTTTTCACGGGCTTTCATCTACCAAATATTTTTCTGGAAGATGGTGTGTAAAAACGTAAATAACAACGACAGTCAAAATAGCTTCGGGGCGGGCTTTTTTCGTTAAGGGAGAGCTTTTTCTCCAATATTTCTCCAAACTGCTTCGTGATCTAAAGGGGAAAGAGTAGGATTGTGTCGTGTATCTACTCACATATGCTCGGTTCGTGGAGCAAAGACGAAGCCAGAAGTCCAAACAAGATGTGATTAAAACTAAAGATCTGTGTAAATCATTGCATCGAGTGAATGAATGACTGAACCGATGTGCGGTTGTATGAATGAACAAATTAATGGCAATCCATTGGCAAGGAACAAACAAACAAACAAAAGCAAAGTAAAAGCCTGGGTTGCAAGACTCTTCTTAAGCTTCCAATAACCTATTCACTATAAGCTCTACAATGTCATTTGTGTTTTTTGCAGTCATCGGAACTAGGCGTTGTAAACGGGAGAGTATCGGGTCTAACACGATAACAAACTTCAAGAGCTGCCTCAAGTCAGACGGGCACGATATGTTTACATACGTGAAGAAAGGGAACTGCACAGGCCGGAACGCTGATTCATGGGACATACGATGCAAAATGATACCTAGACTTCATAAATGCTTTTACTATATAACATGTAAAAGGATGCCTCAAGTTTATTACTGGAACTGCACATATAACCATTTAAGCTCTGATAATCCGTTTTGTTGCGATCCAATATGCCAGGGGCAAATAATCACCGTGGCAGAAGAACCAAATGCGCAAAAAGATCTTTCTTAAGTTTGTTTGTTTGTTTGCTTTTTTTTGTATTATGAGCCAGTTTAATCTTTGAGTTTTTGCTTGATGCCTACTTCATTGCTAGGTAAAAACGTAATTATGTTTAAGGGTAGGTGGCATATTTTGTGATGTCAAAACGTTTTTTTTTTTCTTAACGATAAAAGTTGCTCTAAATATCTAATGGAAGCTGGCCTTTAAAATCTTGCCAAACACAAAGATGAAATTTCTCCTCAGTGTTTTCAACATGAAGGCCCTTCGAGTTTATGTAGGAAGCTTGTAGCTCCTCTTCTCGCAGGTAGTCAGAAGCCTAAATTTGTATTGAATACGAATGTGCAGATAATTTAGAATTAAATCGCCTTCTTAAAGTAGAATACTTTAATTTGTGCTTGGTCAATTTCCCATTTTATCATCGGATCTCTATAGTATTTCTAACCCTCCTGTTGAAAAAAGAATGCAGAGGGCTTTGTAAGCAGAGATCCGAAGTGAGGCCAGTCAGGTTCAGGTCATTTGTATTGTTCACGCAAGTACAATTTTTTAAGATTTTACTTTTATTTTGTTGTTTTCTTATACTTTATGCAAAAGTTGAATACGCCTGCTTCATTGATGTGCTTCTTAGCAGTATTTTTAATAAACTATGCTTGTGCTGAGATATGCTTGATGTGGAGTGGACTGATTTGCAATACTTGCCCCTTATTACCCGCACTCACATTAACCTGCGAGAGCACACATTCAACTGCAGGAAAAAGTAAACCTCTTGCAGCGATAGCTTCATGTACAGGGACAAGTTCATTTCTGAGTTTGCTTGAGAAGACTATTAAATCAACCTGTTCTGTTGCGTTCTTGCAGTTTCGAAAGGGATTTTATTTCTCAAAATCAGTGGAGTAAAGATATTTATAGAAAAACAAGTAGGATCGAAATCAGGTCTCTTTAGTCAAATAAGATATTATTCGCGGATGTTTTGCAATACGCTATAGTGCATGGCTTAGTGATAAAACCCTAATAATATTGGCAAGACGCGGCGCGTTAACAGTTGAACTTTTGCATTTCTCTAATCTAAATTTCTTTCGGATGTTTCAAGTACTGACTGATCAGGAATGGCATCTTCACCAAAAACTATATATTTTGAATGAATGGTAAAACAATTATAGGATTCGGCTTTCGTATGACATGAAGAATTATGCACATCTCGAAGGGTGTTATCCACCGAGGCCGAAGGACAATAACTGCTAATGAGGTGTACTCCTGCCCGACCTAACTTAGGTAGTAAATAAGGTCCAAAGCACTATCAACAAAGAAAAGTTTTCATGTCAAATTTTTATAGATCTTAAAAAGGTATTTGCACAGCTGATAGGGCAATAGGGATATTCAGTACTAGACTGGTTTTGCTCTTATCTGAAAAGACTATCTCATGATCATGTAACCCAAAATGGCGCGAATGACTCACCAAAGGAAATAAATCTCTCTACTGGTATTCCTCAGGAATATGTCCTAGAACCTCGTTTATTTCTGATCTATATTAACGATACAGCAAACATCCGCAGAAAAGATTAAGAACATCGGGCTGACAATTGACCAATAAAAAACCATATGTACAACCCGACCAATTCAACTTGATGAATAGAACATGTTCTTATATAAAAAGAAAAAGTATGCCAGAATAAGAAACCAATGCAATGAATCATGTTGAATAACTATGGTGTGCTGGAAATTACAGTATTCAAGGACCACTCGGTAATTGCAGGGGTACTAGAGAAGGGCTGCTGTTGTAGAGAGGTAATAAAGAGACAACAACTTGATTTAAATTTTAATGTTTACTTATATTTGCTATAGGATTTATTCATTTTTGATGTTAATTTATTTTTAAGAGTAAGTAATAAAACATTGGATGGTCAGTTGCTTGTTAAAGTAGTTAACAACTGAATTAAACTGAGTAATGTTATTCGACGTCGAAACTTCGAATAACTGACGTGACATATTTTAATTTTCCGTCAGTAATAAAACATTGCAGGTTAATGAATCCTCGACTGGTAATGTGTGATCTGAAGTATTTCTGAAACAGGTTTTAAAAACATTTTAAGACCTGGTAAATATGAACTTGATCAGCCTGAACTGACAAATCGTAGGTTTTTATATGTGAGTGTTTACTGTACTTCTAAATTTCGTGATGAATCAGGCGCCGATCTAGGATAAATATACAGTGACCGGTTTCCTAGACGAGCGCCGAAGGCGCAGGATTCTAGGGGGGTTCGGGGCATGCTCACCGCTTAGGAATTTTTTTTGCATTTTAACTCTCCAAAGTCCCCTTGCCTGGGTTTCTGAGTTATTCAGACAGGATATTGGCCAGATTTCAACTTGGAGAGTTTTATTTTTATTAAAATATATTTATTTATCAAAAATCTGACCGATTTTCGTAAAACGGTGGAAACCGGTGTGGATCGGGGCCTGTGAATTACAGTTCTCTGACTCTCTTTACCGATGATACTACTCTTTCTCTTAACTTATTAGCGGAGCATCCTAACTGTGATATCTCGGTGTAAATTCTATAAAAACGGATTTTTTAATGCTTTCTTCTTCCTTCCATATACATGCCATTTTGAAACACGCTTTAGTCCTCTCTCAAAATCGGAGGAAATGCATTTGGTGCGCACTTTCTGCAGCTCTACCGTAAAAAGGAGTACAGTGACCCACATTCTTATTCAATAAATAAAATAAGGACAATGCCTCTTTTCAATAAGAAAAAAAATTGGCATAAATCTATGTAATCTATGTTCAGTTTTTTGGCAATTTTACTAAATTGTATTGTTGAATAGCGCGCGTATCCAAATTAAGTCTAGTGAAATGTTGTAAAAGACTAATATATAAACAATTTGTCCAAGTCTCAGGTCTTTGTGACCCGCAGTTTCTGAGTTATTTGCCAAAAAGTTTCACGCACCTTTGTAGAGCTTTGTATGGAGACGCCATATTGGTGTACCGTTTTGGTGCACCAATATGGCCGCCGGAAATCAACAAAAACATCTGGAGTTCACTTTTTCTATAAAAGCTTTTTCTTTTCACTCGAGAACTAGCGTAAGTGCGCATAAACATATCTTCTAATACTTGAAATGGTTATACTGCTGAAAATCAAGAGGAGAGACTTTTTTTCAACGAGACAGCATTCCTATTTTGGTGTTACGCATTGTGAAATCTCGGAAGTTCAAATTGCTGTATTTTCGAAATGAAACACGTTACGAGAATGGAAACTTGCAGAAAGATTTACTTTTTGTTTATCTTCAACCTAGTGTAAATAAGAATTCGTAAAACCTCGCTATTTTGACTTTGCAATTTGATGACGTCACTGTGAAAACCATCTATAGGACTCGATGGAACCTAATTTCTTCTGACTGGAGGGATTCAATTATGGTCAGGCTAATCAAGAGCGACGGTCAGGGAATATCAACCATTGAGTGGCAAGAGTTGAAAAATCGATTTCCTTCATTTTTTGTCCATAAGTCGCCTTTCGGTAGATAAGTAATCTGATGTAAGTTGTTCTCGCAAAAAGGCTTTTATTTTCGAGAAAAGTAAGAATATCAGTTTTCGTGTCGGAGTCTCAAAATGGCCGTATTTTCAACCCAAAATTTGCTAACATCAACTCTCCTTACGATCGCAAATAAAGCCACAAGAAGAAATTTGGACACTTTCCATCAATAGAGCAACTCTTCTTCTTTTACTAGAAGATACTTCCAAAGCAATATCAAGACTCGTTGAACTGACAAAATTCAAAAACGAAGAACAGGTTTTTACGGTGGCAAAAACTTTAATTTAGTAGTTGTTTTCTGCGGCATTATTCCTCATGTGGTATAGCTCTAAATTTTCCCAGTCCTCGTTTATTCACACATTTAGACATTTATTGCTGCCGGGCGTCAGCCGGCAGCAGACCATATTCTTGAGCGATTTGAGATTTTTCGTTTAATGGTGCCATGGTTCCATGGTTTGATGGTTTATCTGTGACTGCAGCGCTGTGCAATCAGCGGTTTGATAAGCAAGTGCTTAGCTGCCGCGCCTGTTTTCTCTTAGGAGCAACCCGCCATTTTGTTTTGCTCTCATGTAAGATCTGTGCAGAAATCGTAGTTTATCGGATGCTTCCTGTCTTTTTAAACGGTCTAAACGGTAAGAACAGTTCAAGAAGTATTGTACGGAACATTTTTCGGTTTATTTTTTTATTCTAGGTTTCAAGATTAGTTATAGCGAGTATTCTTTTGTCACACAGATTGTTATCTCGGGAATCAGGATTGTAAGCCCCGGTTCAGACGCCGCTCCACTCATGTGCCGAACCAAACTGATGAATTAAGTACGGCAAAAGAGCGGCGTCTGAATCAATTTGGTACGGCAGTTTTAGTTTGGTGCGGCAAAAGCGTGAAGTTCGACAGAGTCTGTCGAACTTTTGTCGAACTTAACTTAGGTTCGACACACGGTACGCCGTCTGAATCAGATGTCGCGCCAGTGTCGCTCCAAAGTCGAACTTATTCAGTTAGGTTCGGCACATGAAAAGTACGGCGTCTGAACCAGGCCTAAGTTACATAAGTGAACGGCATGTGCTGTACATCTACCTGACCTGTGAATAAACAAGTTTTGGCCTTTACGTTATTTGTTCGCAACTCATCTCAACCTGTGTACGATGATTGTTCGATGAAGAAACAGCCTATCAGCACTGCTGTTGTTTTAGAATTTCGTGAATTACTAAAATGAATTACAAAATGGTACTGAAACCTTAGCGAGTTATATGAATGTAAGCATATTTGTCATCGTGATCGGTTCATTTTTTATATTACGCTCTGAATGTTTCATGACGCCAGCAAGTCTAAGTTATTGACTTTAATAAAAAAGAATTCATAAGTTCAACTGTTCTACAAACTGTCTTTGTCCTATTCGCATCGCAACTAACGGCAGCACTTCCCTTCTCAATGAAAACTTCTAGTCTAAAACATACCTGAGAATTGGCTTGGGTTCCTGAAAGCAGCCTCCAAACGAAAGTATCGAAGTCCGGTAAATATAGTGACGCGTGAGCAAAGCAACTTCTGTAACGGCTCCAAGTTTCCTCGATAGCCAAGTAACAAGACGAAATATCTTCCTGTTCCGTCATCCTTAGCGAATTACCATTGTTCAGTCCTTATTTTTCGATAAAAAGTGAGTACCAGAATACTAGCGCGTTTGATGTTTTTGAAAATGGGTAGTTTCTAAAACGAAGCCTGACTCGAAAACGAAGACCGAAGCACGAAGCACCCAAATCTCGAAAACGAAGCACCCAAAACTCGAAAACGGAGCACCCAAATCTCGAAAACGAAGCACCCAAAAATCGAAAACGAAGCACCCAAAACTCGAAACCTGTCTGTCCTTTTAAAACACGAGATGGTCCCTTGTCAAGTCACCGGCAGCAGGAATCAAGCCCGATAACAAATAGAATGCAGTTCAAGTAGAACTACGAGGTGTTGCAAATGCATTTCCGTCGCCCTAACAATTGGCCATTTCCTGATTTCTCTGATATTCCCGAAAATGGGCAAACATAGTGATTTTCGAATTTGGATTGGTTGACCGTTAGAGGTGCGGATGCATCCATTGCCTCCACCTGGTTTGGCTTGCGTCATGCAAGACTTAAAGTTGTTGTCCTTCAACGCACAGTGGTTTCGAGATTTGGGTGCTTCGTTTTCGGGTTTTGGGTGCTTCGTTTTCGAGTCTTGGGTGCTCCGTTTTCGAGTTTTGGGTACTTCGTTTTCGAAATTTGGGTGCTTCGTTTTCGAGATTTGGGTGCTTCGTGCTTCGGTCTTCGTTTTCGAGTGCTTCGTTTTCGAAACTACCATTGACAAATGTTCCTCTTTCAAGAATTGCGTTGCATTACTACAGTGATTCCGTGACGGTCATTTTGATTGCTTCGTGTCTTCAAACGTACGTTATATCACATGCAGTCACGGAACAGAATGTCACGCAGAGTTGCCGGCTGATAGAGTTCACTGTTTGAAAATGGCTAAAATTGACCCAGTTTCACCTTTTTACCCCACCTTTTGATTGAAGGCTGTAAATATCTACTTTTGTGCGTTTCGAAATTGGAAGTGTTTACACAATTACCACTGGCCTACCATGACAATTCCTGAACTTCGATGGTGTCTTACCGAGATTTCCTTCAATAACCCAAGCAAATTCCCGGGTATGTTTTAAATGAATGTCTTGTGTGATTTAAATGGCATTAAGAGAATTTGGAGTTGTACCACGTGTTAAATATTGCCGTCGAAAATGGGTAACGAACTTAAGTTTTTGTTATCATGAAAACCTATCTCTCGTTTTTGAATTATTTCTGTACGACGAGCTTCGCTATTGCCCTAAAAGTATCTTCTAGTGGAAGGAAAAGAATTTTTCTGATCATGGAAAGTGTCCAAATTTCTCGACGCGGATTCGTTCGCGAACGCGAAGAAAGTTGATATTAGCGAATATCAGGTTAAAAATTAGGGCAGTCTGAGACTCCGACATCGAAAACCGATTTTCTAATTTTTCTCACAAATAATAGGCTTCTGGCGGGAACAACCTACATTAGGTTTCTCATCTAGCTAAAAGCTGTCTATGAACAAAAAACGAAAGAAATTTATTTTTCAACTCTTGCCACGAAATTAAGATTTTGGTCGATTTTCCCTGACCGTCGCTCTTAAAGAAAAAGAATCCTAGTTGAGACTTTTTTGAGGCTTGTTTGTATAAGGATGACTGTTGACTGAAGTCGACACAGTCTAATTGAAAGTCAGCCCTTAGCAATCCTCAAAATAGATGTCATTATACATTTAAAACATATTTAACAGGCTCTTCTTTTCCATAGTATTTAACGCGCTGTTAAGTTTCTGTTGTAAATGTAGTTTATTATGGTATACAATATTTTCTCCTTTACCGTCCGCCTTGGCTAGCTATATGAGCAGTTTGCCTCTTCTATTCTATTTCTTTCCCCTGTAATCTATTTATAGATTTTTGTTGCTTTTGATGTCACGCAAATTTAGCGGATAAGTGCCAAACTTAAAGCTATTTTGACAGTGTTGAGTTTGAGAAACGTGGGTGGAGGGCTATAAACGCCTAGCGAAGACGAAATTAACCACTTCAGAAAATACCATAACATACCATAATACTCTTTGTTGGTCACTCCAAAATTTTGCATAAGTTGTTCTCAGTTTCTCTTGGGGCCATTTTAACTCCCAAGGGAAACTGAAGACGATGCTTGTGCAAAATTTTGGAGTGACCAACGAAGAATATTATGTCAGTTATGGTATTTTCTGGAGCGGCAATAGCCGAATTAGCCTACGTTCGATACATTAAAAGGCAATTCTCTTCTGGGATTTGCGAGACAATGGATGAGTCGTGAAAAATTTGCATTTGTTTCCCTAAAAGTGATCTTTTACACGAAACGATTCGCAACGACGATTTTTAGCTCAACAAAGCTGTGCAACACTGTTTCGACATTGTTACGAATAGTTACAACATTATTCCAACATTGCAACGCTGTGTTTCACTAAAAGTCGTCGTTGCGAATCGCACCGTGTAACATGGCCTTAAAGCGGGAACGTGAGCTATTACTGATTGAAAGGGTTTCCGCGGGAGTCCCAAAAGCCATTTATAGAAGAATATCTACCATAAATCTCTGTTTGAAGAATATCTGCAAGGAGCTGAAACTGCCGAGGAGGATCCGAGGAGGTGACAAATGTTTTGAAAAAAAAAATTACACAAAGGGAAGAGGTAGAGGGTGAGTTTAAAAAAAACTTTGAATAAATGTACCATCATCACCGGGGGCTCATTGGAGTCTAAGGTTAAATCGAGGTACCCTTATTGACTACGACTCACAAGCCTTACTGAAACGCTTGTTTGAAGGCTTCAGCTCATTATAGCTGACACGTGAGGATGTGGCACGTTTCCTCATAAGGTTCAAGTCAGTTACTGAGTTACTGAGGAAGGTAGTTGGCAAGCGAATACAGTTTACGTGATCATATTCCTGGCTTTGATATCTTTCCCCTCTGGCAACCAAAACAGGTAGTCCAACAGTATAGAGCCAATACTCTATAACTTTACAAGGTGAACCCGAAAGAGCCACCATGCAATCAATTCTCCTCTTATTCAACTTATCTACATTTTTGATTTTCGGTTCAAATGCTCTGGAGTACTCAAATCGATGGACAGTGCAAATCGATGGCGACAATGACGAGGCAGATAGACTGGCGTTTAAACATGGCTTTGTAAATCACGGCAAGGTAAGTAATTTGCCTTAACATTATCCAAGAGAAAGTGGCCTTACGAGTGGCTTTCAGGGATTATCTGAATCTATTAGCATGACCTTAGTATGCCATCTGCTGGATATTACCCTAATTATTACTATTATTATTCAGCATTTAGGCTTGTCGTCTTTGACTTTCTTGGGTTTTTTACCACGTAATTGATGCTTCCGGAGACGTACAAATACATCGGATCAGGGCTAACGAAACAACTCGGCAAAAATAATGACTTCTTAGGCGTGCATGATAAATCAAAATATTCACCCATGAACATCTGAGTTTAAAAACAGGAAAATTTTTCTGTTTTCATACCAAGAGAAAGTATAGCTCTGTCAAAGTGACACGCATCTGCATGCTCGACCTTTGGACGTAAATGAAGGGGATTCTATTTCTCAATATATTATTACACCATACAACCGTTTGTCTGTATTAAAAATACTATTATCCTGCAGTATTTGCGTTGATACGCTAATTATTAGAGAACGAGAGAGAAATGAAAATGAAAAGCGTGTACACACTCTTTCCGCCAAGTTTTTTTTTAACAACATCATTGCCATCCAATCAGTATGGAGCGACCCGGTAGGAGGTTTTTTTTAATATAACACGCTTGAGCGAACAATAGCCGCAAAGGCGAAGTACAAGTATTTACAGCGTAGTTCAAATATAGAAAAATTACTACTTTTGACACCTAATGGACCAATCAGTTGTTCACAGCAGCTTACACAACAGAAAAAGAAAAAACGAAAAAAGTTTAAAACTAACAGTCAACATTGCAGGAGAAATTTGATTGAATTCCCGTGTCATTTAGTATAACGCCGACGATGTTGCCCGGCAGGCTGTTCCAGACTTCGGCCTTTCCAGGGCATGGCTTAGCATACTCAGGCTTGCACGGGTTGCTCGTGTTGCCATGGGCAGTAGGGTCGAGGTAGCATGGTTTTCAAATCAGACGGGCACAGACTGGTATGCGTCCTGTACAGACTGTCGCGGCTACAACTTGCCGCTTGTGATAAAGGGGAGGGATGTTCAGTTTGGATCGTGCTTCTTCTTCATTTAGGCCAATTATGTGCGACGCCTTCTTCTGGATACGGTCAAGGAGACTTAGAGTTGTTGTTGAAGCATTCATCCAGCTTAAGGAAGCATATTCCAGGACACTGCGAATAGCATGCAATTGCACTAGGAGGTCACGTGACCAATGCTTCCTTTAGACAATGCACGAGGATAGTATATTACTGAAATCTAATACACGACAAGAAAATTTTAGCACCTTAGCGCGACATATTAAATGCTCATTTTTACAAGTACACGAACAAAGTGGTTTACTAGTTAGACTTTTTAAAATAAATTTACTCCACAAAAGCAAAATGAAATGTTTTAAATCTCGATCTTGTTTACGTACGTGTAGTAAATTCATCATACAGGCCCCATCAAAATGAACGTACACGAATGAAACGGAATGCTTTGGGACAGTTTAGTTTCTACTCGGCGGCCTCTTTGCCTTTATAACAATATTTTATGTTCCAGTCTGGTTTAAACGTTAGCATATCAACGCGCACAGCCACTGAATGAAAACAATGGTCACGATCAAGTTCTTAAAAACCGACCAGACGCGTGCGACCTACCACTGTTATGGTAAGCAATTATGCTAAAGATGTAAAAAAAAGGTTTTTGTGACAGTCTTCGCACTGAAGGTGTAAATGGTTAACCGAGCGGTCGCTTTGATTATCAGAAAGAACTGTAAACTGTGATGATTTAAATGAATAGATTACGGGACAGAAATTTTACTGCTTGCGGCTCCTCGTGGTTGGAATCTTGCTGATGCCAAAAATTGACAGAGCACATAAAAATTATCTTACACCCGAAATTTGAGAGGAAATGCATTTAAGGAAGACATTTTATAGCACTTTGATTTTTCAACAAAGTAGTATGATTTGTATTGGCCGCCATGTTGGAGTGCATACCCTTGCCCTCCAACATGGCGGCCAAAACTATTTTTGCATGTATCTTGTTAAACGTTTGATAGTTACGCTCAGATGTGCTGTAAATGTTACCACTTCATCTTTTAAACATTTTCCTTGAAGTTTAAGTGCAAAATTTGCGTTCAGAAAGAGGTAATTCACAATTTTGAAAATCACATTTCGGTCACGGGACCAGCTACGAACTTACTCATTTCAAGAAGATGGTGCGGGTTTGAAAAACCAAAGCACTATTATTTTGTTTAAGACATGACCCACTAGTCGTTTTTCGAAGGCAATTCCCTCTCTCTGCTTCTCTCTCTGTCTCCAAATTGTGTTTGCTCCCCTACCGCGCTCTTTTCTTTCGGCAAGCATCTTAGTAGTCACAGGAAAAGCGGCTTCTTTGGAGTGGTGGTGAAAGAAACTTTGAAATCATCTGCTCTAGCCTCATTTGGGCTCATCAGCATGGCATAGCCGTCAGGCACCTGCTCGTACAGGGGACCGACGGCTATACTCATGAGGGCGAAATAGCTGTTAATGGCTACCACTGCTCGGGTGATGTGATTGTTGGCATATGAGTTAAATACTGGCCATACCACCACAGGGTTGTGTAGTGTAATTATTGCCTTCAGGTAGTTTCAAAGAATCTCTATTTGCCATTTATTTATTTATCTCTCCGCCCTTTCACAGACTTTTTACAGAATAATTATAGAATAATCATACCTGGGCAGGAGCACTCAGCAAACCCTTTTGGGCTTTACGAGGAGAGCATCTGGACAAGTTTACAACACGAAAGAAAAATAAAACAACCTGCCCCAACTCTCACTTATGTTCGTGATTGAACGCAGATTAAAATTGACAAAACTTGTTCGTGTTGGACTTGCAAAAAATGCAAATCCGTTGTTCAAATTACTGAACCTTTCAATATCGAGAAAAGTTTTCCTAACCTCTGGAAGAATGCAAAAGTAACATTATTGCATAAAGGAGGAGCACGCAATGAGTGCCGAGAGTCTGTCTCACCTGTCCTTTATTGTTTAAAGACAAATAAATTATTGTAAGAGCTGCAACCAGCTTTTAGGTTAGGACATTATACAGAAACGGTCCTGATCAGTTTAGGATCAGGCAGTCAGGATGTACCTGCTTTAACACTTTGTACTAAAAACATGGGGCAACATCGAGTTGATCAGTCTGGTGTTTATAGATCTCTGCAAAGCTTTTCATGATATAGTAATTGATCATGAATGTCTACTAAAAACGTATACCTAAGTTTCCAGTCCTTCTGATGTTGTCTGGTTTAAATCTTCTTGTCTGAGAGAAAGCAGTTTATTTCTTTAGAGAAAACCACGTCTGAACGTAGAGCAAGGTGTGCCCCTAGAGTCAATTCCAGGACCGGTGCTTTATCTTTTACTCGACAACGATATGCCTTTCCACGTTCACAAGTCAACTGTGGACGTCTTCAAGTTCAAACCGGAAAACCATTCCATTAATACACCAATCATTATCTAAGGACCTGACAGAGATAGACAGATGGGCAAATCAGCAACAACCTCGCATAAAGCGCTTGAAAACTAGACTTTCAAAGGAGTTGCGTTAGGCTGACACACATTCTCTTTATAAGTTTTTATTTTTTATACCCCTCCAGTTGAATAATAAATATACCTTATTCCCTTTTGGTTTCGAACCCACTGTCCTCACTGACCCACTGACCCGCTGACCCACCTATCCTCACTGCCTTCCGAGTCTTCATCCTAGTATTCTAAGTTAAGCTTCAGCTAAACAGCCACCAAAGGTCTTATTAATTTATGGCATAATTGCTTTATTGTCACTTATTCATCTTGTTTGCAGGTCATTGATGATTACTATAGTTTCGAAAACAACAAGGTGGACAAAATATCCAGTCTCCCAAGTGCCTATGTTCACAAGGGGCTTCTGTCAGAACCAAATGTAACTGCAAGTTGTAATATAAAAGACTATAATTGTTTGAAAATTCTACGTGAAATTGAGACTAACAAATTTTCGCCAAGCTGAAAGGTGATAGTATTCGTATGGTCTAATATATTACGTGATTCGAAAAGTACCCTTGGCCGCCAAGAAGGAACCTGGGCCGAGTTGTTCAAAGCTCGGTTACGATAACCCAGGGTTAGTGGAAGATTTGAATTCAGATGTGAAAGCTTAAAAAGCATTTCAGTTTTAACTCTTTTTGTTTACAAGTTGATGATTGGAAGCTCTAAAAACAACAGAGAAAATTATCCGAGAAAAGGCTTTTGAACATAAGAAAAAGAAACCTGGGTTAAATTTACCCGCGGGTTAAGCGCTAATCGGCCTTCGAACAACTGGGCCCTGTTGTGCATGTAGTCTTTTTTGAGCTAGGATGTTACTGAACCCACCTCGGTGGATGTCAACTTCTAACCAATTCCAAGGGACTTCTCTGAAGAAGCTTTATTTAGTTCATGTTTTGTGGGCCGGTTGGATCGTTAACAAATATTTCTGAAACCACTTGATCGTTTTTTCTATGGATCATTTTCTTAAAAATCTTTTAACATAGGATGACGTTCTGCCATGGACGACATTCAAAATTTTGCAGTCAAACCTGTGTTAACTAATAATTGTCGATTTTTGTCATTCATTTCTAGGTTAAGATGGTTGAACAGCAAGAAATGAAATCCTTTAAATTGCTTTCATCCGAGTCAGTACATTTCAACGATGCAAGATGGCCAGAAATGTGGTATATTGTAAGTGTAACAGTGTAGCCTGGCTAAATATTACACTCAAGTTGAAGAAAACCACTCTGTGTTGCCATATTCTATGTTTTTCTTGCCCGCGAGGAGTTTTGAGCTTTTGGTACCTTTTCTCAGAAGCTAATGACTCCCCCCTACTGTTGCTTGTAGATAGCTAACTGGTTGTGAATTAACAATTATTGGACGAGGTTGAGTAAAGTAGCGTGATTTGTCAGTGATCAATTATTTGCCGAAACCGAAGGTTGACGCAAATAGGTGATCTGCTCGCCACTGACAAATCACGATATTTTGCGATTAATTTTTTCGTCATTCGACCACCGAGTTTGTGTTTTAATGAATATCTTCGGGAAGCGAAGCGATCTGCAATAGGCCACTTCCGAGTTCCAAAGACCTGCAATTTCAAAATGAGGCCAATTACACAACCTTTCTTGTGAAAATGAGTTTTATTTACAGGAAAATAAAAAAATCATTTCCATATGCTGAGCACTTGACCTCGTTTTGATACAGAGGCCTGGGGAACTCGGAAATGGCAAATTTTCATGCAAGAGGGACCGTACTAAGAAAACCGTGGTTTCATTTACATATGAGCATAATGTTATTTGCAGCCAAACACATGAATAGACCACTATTTGCAGTCACGCTGTGGGCTCTTGGCCAATGAAAAGGCATAAAAATTTGAATCGAATGATCATAAATATTCTTTTTGGGAAGATCTTACGCGCTGTCTTTTTTACCACCTATCTGTTGCTATTTTATTTATATCCAAATGGCCAAACTATCATTACGCCCCTATTTTCGTAGAATAGAATTGATGGTCCTACACACAATGTGATTGACGTCTGGAAAAGAGGCTTCACTAGTAAAGGAGTCGTCGTTGCCGTAGTAGACGAAGGATTTGACCCAGAACATCCTGAGATTAAAGCCAATTACCTTCAGGTGAACCATACTAACAATTTGTTTGATTTGCGGCTTAAAATAAATAAAATATAAATATTCATAAATGTTTTTATGTGTCTCTAAATGGAGATACTGTTATATATCATTCGCCTCAGTCGAAGACTGTGTGGCTTAACAGTTCCATAATATTTGGAAATTGGAATGTTGCTTCAGGCAACTGAAAGAAGGTCTGTAATGCCCCTGTTATGGAAAATCTTTTCTTGTTGCTGTTGCAAACCAATGAAAATTTTTATGATAAAGTGTGTATTTGGGGACGCGCATGACTGACAAAATGAAACCCACTTTGTTATGTTTGTTACAATATTTCAATGCTGGTGAACTAAATTAGTTCTCTTTAATCTCACAACGATCTGTAAAACATCAAAGACCCTCAGGTTTTGGATTATTTTCTCCTAAAAGTCAGCTTGCTGCACTTAAACGGAGAATTGGGCTGTAGCAGGGAACGAGTACGGGGAACGGGAAACTGAAAAGTGGGAAGAAAACTGATAATTGCTGTGAAGTTTCTGATAAGGCTAGCATTCAAGTTGGGTTTTGTTCCCATTTTTTTCATTTTTTGCGTTCCCCCTGCTCGTTCCCCGGTCCCCGTTCTCTGTTTTAGTAACATCCCGTCGCACGAGAATGCTAGAAATTCATTTAATGTCTTTCCTTTGCATTTTTACGAATTATTTGATAAATTATTTTTAAAGAGCATTTATGGGGATTGGGCGAATTCGTGACAATTTTTATTGTACCGCTTACTATAAAATCTGCAGGTAACATAAAGAGATAATTAACAATAAATGAATGAGGCTGAATATCTTATGAAGAATTATGGAGATCGAGGACGGCCTCGACGGATAACAACCTCCTCGATCTCCATAATTCTTCATATAATACGAAAGCCGAATTCAATAATTGTTTTATTATTCATTCAAAATAATTCCTAGTTTAAAAACATAGCTAAAACATGCTTACCTCCATCAATGTTAAGTTCATCTTCGATAGTGCACGTTTAGGGTTGTTCAGCTCCGAAAATATTCTCCAAATAGCAGATGTCGCCCTTCGAGTTGTCTTCATGTTGTTCTTGCCATGGTTTTAGCTAATATTGTTACTCTTCAAACGAGTGAAATATCCGCCATTTTTTTTCTACAACCAAAACAACTTAACCTCGCCCCCAGGTCATCTCGGTTAAAGGTGCATTAGCCCCGCAAGAAAGCTGCACTTTTGACGTCATCGGTTCATTAAACGCAAAATTCTTCCAAATTTGGTCATCAGTAGCTGGTTTTGGTGAATTTTGCGTGTGCTGTTAGCCAATCAGAATCGGGAAAATATTTTGAATGAATAATAAGATAAGTTTCTTTAATTATTCTTTGCTTGTTAATTTGATTCTTTTCGAAACGATCTATCAATAACATGCATTCCCCGTTTCTTCGCAGAATGCGAGTTTGGACGTGGTTGACAATGACTTTGTCCCTGTGTCATCAACTAACGAACCGCAATATGGGTAATTTATTGTCTATTTATTGTTCCTTAGAAAGAAACGCCCATTTTCACAGGGGGAAGGATTACGTGGACGGTAGTTTTTGTTTAGAGAGCTTTAGATCCTGAGACGAGTACGACTACGACTACGAGATTTTCTGAATACTAAGTAGTGCTCGCGTGTGAACCAGCGTCATTTTTGGCGGGAAAAGGTGGTAGCCGTCGTCACTCACCAATTAACGCCTCTAAAGTTCAACCGCGGTTCCTAAGACTGTCGAATAACCCCATCATCACTTCTGGTATAACAAAAAAAGCATAATAATAAAGTGTGCCAAAACAATTACTTTCTAGAGATGACAGAGCCCACGAAAAGAAGGAAAGCTCTAATATAATCAGTCTCCTTATTAACAAACTGAAGGCTGTAGTCGACTGTCGGAGTGGTTTAGAGACATTTAGATTCAAGGACGAGGACGATTACGAGCACGAGATTTGACTTAAAGTTTTTTCGCGTCTTCTCAAAATATAGACTCCCCGGAAAGGTTCATTTTACCATTTTTCATTAGAAAAGTTAGCACTGTTATCTTTAGTGAACGAGGTTACTCGCTCTCCCGATTGCAGAATGATAAAACTTCTAACATTTGATATCTTGTTCTCGCCATCACAACATTTGCGCTAAAACTCGTACCAATGTCATTTTATCAGGCAGTAATTGGAAGCATGGGACATAATGTTTAAGAATTACCATTGAGTCAATGGAACGTTTTTCAAATTTTTCTCAAAATATGTAGTTTAGAACTTGTTTTGATAAACTTCCAAAAGGTTTGGTAAATTATTAAGAGGGTGTACCTGGTAATATATTAAACTTTAAACAGTTTAAACTCATCAGTAAGGCATAAGTCCCATTGCCAGATGCAATTTTCCTGCAAAAGTGTCTACTGGGACTCTGTTTAACGGCTTAACTATCTATGATCAATGGAGAAACTATCACCTAGAAGAAATGTAAAGCATCATACATTGAATTAACTGCCTCACATTATAAATTGCTGGCTCACGAACTGTTCAAATGTTGTTTGCACTAATTTTCATTCCGCAGACACGGAGAAAAAAGTGCAGGTGTCATTGCTGCTGTATTTAATAACTCGAACTGTGGAGTAGGGTTAGCATACAATGCAAAGCTTGGAGGTAAGACAAATGCAATTTGGTAATTTATGATATCCATTTTGAAATCACTAGTGATTCCTGCAATCTGATTGGCACTCAGGAGTGTCATTCATTCACGAATCACACTATTTTTTGCTCTATATCACTTCTCTTCTAAATCGCGCCATTTCTACATTTAATCGTTCCATTTTTGCTCTTTATCCCATCATTTCCGTTTCGAATACAAAATGAGATGAAAACGCCTTTTTGGTCATCCAGACCCTGAGATAAGGGGGGGCGGCCTCAAAAAAAAATTTTTCGGCCCTTCGGACCTCATTTCGGTCTAAAAATAAGGGGGGGGGGGCGGCCCCCGGGCCTCTCCCCTGGATCCGCCACGGGGATGTGTTTGTTGTTAGTTCTCTACCTTGCTCCTTGGATCTGGAACACGCAGACAGGTTTTAGCGAGTTCCTATGAACTCCTTAGTGCTCAGTGGGTAAAAAAATTACAATTACAATTACAATTAGCAGCTAAATGGAGAAGAAAACCATTCTATTACACAGTAATTTGCTGTTGAAGCTCACTTAAATTTATATTCTGTTCGTATTTCCAAGGCATTCGCCTGTTTTTTAAGGAGAAAGCATCCGATGCTGATACTGCAAGAGCTCTCAGTCACGCCACAAATCTCATTGACATATATTCAAATAGTTGGGGACCAAATGACAAGGGGCTTGAAGTTGAGGGCCCTGGTTACTTGACCCAGCGAGCATTAAAAAAAGGCGTAGAAAAGGTGACTTTTTAATAATTAGTTGGAACATTATTATTATACCATTGTTATCATCATACTTTTTTACTTGATGAGAGTTACCGTCCATTTCAAGGTCGCAAATTTTTATAATAGACTGCCAAAATCAATCCAAAATTGAGCATTCAAGCAAAAAATTTCTCTCAAATTTAGATTTTTCTAAGCTCTAAGCTAACACTTTTTATTGCCATAGAAATTAACTTTTTTGTTGAAACTTCGGCAAAAGGTGAACGGGACTAATTGCTAAACAGATTGTGCTGGGAAGCCCGGGAGGAGGCAAGGTATTAAAAATATGTTTATACGGGGAGACTCACGCCTTTCTCACTGGTTAGATACCTCAAGTCCCTATAAGAAGTTTACCACGAATAGAGATTCGCGTAACTATTTAGCAGGTTGAGGTCTCGTTCGTTAACGGAATTAACCAGACGAATCACTCTCGTTCGTTAACGGAATTAACCAGACAAATCACTCACGGCGGTTTAGGCGTTCAATTGTTATGGCCTTATCTATCAAATGCGACTCCCTAGCCTGGCGAACTGAGTCACGTGAAGAATGAATTTCCTTTAGTACTGTTTCTGAACACTATTGTGATTCCTATCATAAATTCAGTCACATCTGTAAACCTGAAGAAGGCTGGTATGGCAAGCCGAAATATTGTTATGAAAAAACTTTGCAGTAGTCTTTAGACTTCTCCTTTTTAGTCCTCCCCTTATAAGCCATCATAGGGAGTACACCCACCCCCCCCCCCCCCCCCCCCCCCCCCCCCCGGCGCACAAAAAACCCCCCCCCCCCCCCCCCCTCTCTATGTGGTTTTCTCATTAGGATTTTTTTTTTTTTTTTTTTTTTTTTTTTTTTTTTTTTTTTTTTTATTTTTTTTTTTTCATTTTTACATTCTTTTTTTTTTATTTCTGTATTAACTTCATCTGTAAATAATTTTGATTTCGTACAAAAAATCAGTCCAATACTTAAACCCGAAGAAGGCCGGGATGGCAAACCAAAATATTTTTTTGGAAAAACTTTGTCATAGGCTTTAGACTTCTCCCTTTTAGCCCCCCCCTTAAAAGCCCTCATAGGGAGAACCCCCACCCCCCCCCACCCCCCCCCCCCCTTGCTGGGAAGATACAAAACTCGGACCTACCTCATTCTGTTTAGGTTAGTATCTAACTGATGATTCTTTTCTTATATTTTTCTATAAATATATTTCTTATTTTCAATTAGTCTTCTCGACTGCACTATACTGTACTTTTATTCATTTTTTCGTCAAACATATCTTTCGTAATAAACGCTTTAGTTTGCGAACTGTTTACGTGGCCTGTTGATTTTTAGGGACGCAAAGGTCTTGGATCAATCTACGTGTTTGCTGCGGGCAATGGAGGCGTCCTCGTCAGAGACAGTTGTGCATTTAATGGCTACGTGAACAATATATACACAATTGCAATATCGGGTATAAAGAGCGACGGTTCCATTCCGGCATTCGCAGAACCTTGTGCTGGCATTATAGCGGTGACCTACACAAAGGATATGTTTGAAGGAAGCAGGAAAGTGGTGCGTCGTCAGACCGTGCTATTAAGGCCCCGCCCAAATACGTATATTTTTTAACCCGAATCGGACCTGCGTCCGCAGGAAACCAGTGAATCCACTTACCTACTGCGCAACTTTTAGAAACTGTTTTCCCTAGTGATTTTTAGCATGTGTACAGCCACCCTCTCCCCTCCGAAAAAAAAAATGACTGTACTGTTTTGACAGCTGTAGTGAGGATAGACGTATGGTCACGTGACTACCAAAATTTCTTAGATGAGTAGATAAGTCTGTGTCAACGATAAGGATAGGGTAGGATAGGCAAATTTATTTCATGTCAAAGACTTACGTAGGAAGTGATTGCTCAATCTTCCCATCCGGCACAGAGGGTCATGCCGTTAAAAACAGACGACAACACAAAACAAAGTAACATGTGAATCATGCATTAAAAATCTAAAAATCCTTACGATTACAATTAATAAGTACATCATTGTCTTTATAAAAAAAAAACATTTGAGACATCTTAAAGAATAGAAAATCCTAGATGCAATGTCTCAATCTCTACAATAGCATGAACATTAAAAAAATAAAAGGATTTCTAAAGTAAATCATCTTCTAGAGCTAAAATGGACTACTCACAAATATCAAATATCATCTTATCAAAATATTGAAAATATCAGAGAACTGGTCCCAAGAGTATGTAAAATATATCAGGATCGAGGCTCCGGGTAATCGCGGGTCCCTGAGTAGCCAAGTTTCTTCATATAATTAATTAAACTAATTTAAACTGAAATAGAAATTGGAGAAATGGTCAACTGTTTAAAATCCATTGCATAGAGTTCATAGGTTATTGAACACTGCATACTTTCCCTACTTTTCACCCTACTGTTATGTCTTTTAATATACAGATTACTGCTGATGCAAACAAGGCCTGTACAGGAGATTTTGGCGCCAGTTCAGCCGCTGCAGCAATGGCCTCTGGACTCATAGCCTTAATGCTGAGTGCAAAGTGAGTATTTGCTTATTATTATTATTGCGACATTTGAATTTCAGTTGGTTGATTGCTTTCTCGAGAGGCACAACGTTTAATTAAACTAATAACAAGATTTTTAACTTCTTCGTTGATGTGGGTAAAAACACTGACAAAGACATTCCGTGTGGGAACTGTTGTCCAACCTCTTTTCTGAAGGGCAATTTTCCTGACTCAATGTTTCTCTCCCCTGTTAGTTCAGTTGAAGTTGATTCATACATATCTCAAATGGACAATAACAAATCCATTGGTCCCTATAGTATTCCAGTCCCATTGCTAATAATTAACTAATTAACGATTCTTTCCTCTGTGTATTCTCCCCAGTAAACTTAAATTGGCAAAAGTTACCCCAGTTTTTAAGACAGGCTAGGCCAATATCAGTTCTATCTATTTTTAGTAAAATTTTTGAAAAGGCTATGTTTAAGCGCCTTTATAGTTATCTTGAATCTCGTAACATTCTTTATCCACTCCAATTTGGCTTTGGGCAAAAGTGCTCGACAAATCATGCCTGATACAAATTACTGAATCCATCCCTAACTCAATTGACAACAATGAGTTTGGTGTGGCATTTTTATTGATCTAAAAAGGCATTTGATACAGTTAATCATTTCGTTCTTTTATCAAAACTGAATCATTACGGAGTGAGAGGTAAAGCCTGTGAATGGTTTCAATCGTATCTGTCCAATAGAGAACAATTTGTATGTATAAATGGCCATAACTCTGATTCTCTCTCAATCACTTCTGGTGGACCTCAGGGATCCATTCTTGGACCCCTGTTGTTTTTGCTATATTTAATGATTTACCGAACACCTCAAAACTGCTTAGTTTTCACTTATTTGCTGATGACACTAATCTATATTGTTCACGTAAAAACCTTAATGATCTTGAACTAATCCTAAATCAAGAGCTCCGTGCAGTGGCTGAAATTTTTTGAAATTTTGCTCTTTTTCATTCTTAGAGACTTAAACCATAAAAGTCATTAGATTTAAAAATTGATGGTGTGAACATCCAAGAAGTTTCCACGGTCAAATACTTAGGTGTCACTTTTGACTCAAACTTGACTTGGAAAAATCATGTTAATGAACTCTGCTTAAAACTATCGAAAACTGTAGGCATATTTTCCAAATTAAGGTACTATGTAAATGTTGATATACTTATTATGCTTTACTATTCTCTAATTTACCCCTTAGCTTTCTTACTTATGGTATTCAAGTTTGGGGTCTCACATATACAACCTACCTAAAACTAGTAACTACTTTGCAAAACCGAATCGACAGAATAATGACTTTTTCCGACCCTAGATCTCATTCTGAGCCATTGCTGAAGTCTCTCAGACTCCTAAAATTCTCTGATATAATTGATCTTGAAATTCTCTCTTTTGTTTATCAGTGGTACCATAAACTAAGCCCTTCTTGTTTTGTTAATTATTTTAACCCAGTAATTTCAATTCATTCATATTAATACACATCAATCACAGATTGATAATCTGTTCGTTAAATCTATTCATGCCACTCAATACGGCATTCGTTCTCTCAGTTACACTGGTCCAAAACTTTGGAATTCTTTATCTATTGATGTTAAGAAAATCAAGAGCTCTTTTCCAGTTTTCGTCAATATATCAAGAATTCTGTGATTGATGGCTATAATACTATTATTGATTCCTAATGTTTTACGATTATATTATCTTTAACTACTATTTAATTAATGAAGTAACACTTTTTATCTAAAACCTCTATTTTGCAATTATATTCTTTCTACTCATATTCTTGTTTGGGTCACCTACTCGGCTAGTTCCACGAACTATTTAGGTCTCCCAAACTCTGCACAATGAACTTACAATTGAAAATTTCTTTTCCTTCACAATCTCTCGATTTTATATTTTAAAGCACTAAATTGTATTAATTGTTATTCTGTGTGAGTTTAAATTAAAATTGACTTGACTTGTTTAGTCAAGCAAAACTGAGCACAACAACTTTTGATAGTGTGAAAACCTCTTCCGCCATTTCCCTTCTTAGTGCAGTATCGACCGAAACGATTCAACTTATTCAAAACAATCTTTTGATGGTAGATTTTTAAGCCTCATATAGAAGAGTGTGGTGGACATATTTCGCTGTTCCAACGAAGGCTTAATTTCCCCTCTTTTATCAGGCCCTCTTTGTGATAAACACGTAGCTACGTTTCCATAAGTACATCTGTTCAACCTGAAGGATATGTATTAAACAAACGTTAATGACAGGCAAGTATCTAACCAAAAAATCCCTCAAAGAATTGAGAGCAAAGATAGGCTGAGCCAACATTTCCTGTGGATTAACACGGTTCATTTACACCCAGTGGAGGCCTTTCATGGCGAGATGTGCAGCATATTATTATCCGGACTGCGAGGCAAGATGTCATCAGATATAGAGATGCTGACTGGAAGAGAAATAAGGCTGGCTTACGAGGTTGGTGTTTTTACTTAGTGGTGGACTGAAGGTCTCCTTCTGTGCTTAGCCAATTTACCAATTTTTTCATTTTCTGTTTCGAGCTTCTCCCAAAATTCATGTGTCACTAAAGGTCGATTTTCAGCAGCGACTTAAGCGTTACTTAAACGTTGTCTTAACCCAGAAGGGTAAGAACATGTATGACCTTCTGGAAATCAAAAATTGGAAGCGGAATCATAAACTAGACGGAATCGAATCGAAAAAATTTGAACTTTTCCATTTTCTTCCTTTCCCTTTGTGAATGAGTCGTTTGCCATATATGAAAAATAATAATTAAAAAAAGAAAACGTGACGACCCTGCCAGTTTATTTCTTCACGTTATCGTAAAGTGACACCAGTCATAAGAGGAGTCATTGGCAAGATTCTCACAGCATTCTAAGCAGTGTGTGTCTGATTGCAATAAATAAAACTTGTATTGTTTGGGTAACGGTCTCGTGATCCTCAGTTGCAAGATATCGTGCATTTGATTATTGACGGCCTTGGACTTTCTGGAAGTTCCAGTGCACAATTATGAGGTTCGGACCTTTTAGAATAAAGTTGATCAGAACCTTCAAATTCTATAAGATACACATTATGCCCATAGCAGGTTTTAGTAATCTAAGATTTAACTTCTCGAAAATACCTGTAACGCATGGAAAACCTGTGGTGGTGTGGGCAACCTCTCACCCCCTTTTATCTCGGTGGTGGTATGAGTATTGCTTGGATGTTCGCGGGTTTAAGGGTTTTGCATGAATTCCTGTAAATACCATTCCTATGTATCGGCACCAGACAGGACCAGTTCATGTTTTTGGTTGCTTGCAAGCGCTAATGAATATTAGTTATTTTGTTATAGTAAATGATTACGTTGGCTTTGGTTTTATGGATGCCAGTAAGATGATTGATGCAGCAATCAGATGGACAAGGGTTCCTCCAAAAGTAAATTGCAGTATTCCTCGCCGTGGCATTAACGAGTGGGTTTCAACATATTTGGTATTTAACAATTGGCTCACGAGTCTTCGTTCGCATGTCGAGATTTGAAGCACGTTAGAGAGCACGAAAGGGACGTAAGAATTGCTCGAGAGGCAGCCGAGAATAACACTAGCTTCTTGAGTGCTCTCCAAATTTCGCAGGTGCTTCATTTCTTGACATACATACAGTTGAAAATGAAACAATTTAGGTTTTGTGAACTGCTACATGAAAAGAGCTTTAAATGGGAAAGAATGGAACGTACCTTTGCCATTTACATATTTGCCGTTTGAAATAAGTACTACGTGGAGTTGAGAACGCCTCACTGGTGTATGAGGAGAACATCGTAGGACCCACACTAGAAAACTTGATATTCTTTCCTGGTAAATCTCAGGTAGTAACCTAAATATTCCAGTTTCAATACAGGCTTTTTGTACGCACGTTTGCATAATTTGATAGCTGTTCATGACCTTTGTTAAGTTATTCGTTGCCCTCTTTCGTGCCTGTATTTAGGTTGTTCTAGAAGATAACACATGATCTAATTTTCATGTCATAATACAGAATTGTCCTTTACCAGCACCCTTTCGCCCCTGGCGACGTTCGTTTGCTTTTGCGACAAGGAAATCTTAGATTTTACCGTAAAAATCCTAGATTTCGTCGTCCCCAAAACTCGAGCAGTGTGGTTATCCAATAAATTTCAAGCTTTTTTTTTTGCTTTTGATTTCTTTTCTTTCAGGATCATTAAGGCTCACAAAAAGTCAGAGGTCCTTATCAGTTTGACCGACTGGAAAAATAATTGTGATGGAACAATTAATTACTTGGAACACGTTGAAGTCAGTGTCAACTTGACCTACACACTTCGTGGGGAGTTACTGATAAAGCTCACGTCTCCTCAGGGAACTGTGTCCAAGCTTACACACTACAGAGAGGCTGATGCTGCGTTTGGAGCAAAGGATTTAAACTGGGTTCTCATGACGTTGCATCACTGGGGAGAGAATGCAAAAGGGGTTTGGAAATTATCTTTGGAGAGTTCACATCCGGAGCATTATAACACAGGTTACAGAAATCGTTTTAAAAAATTGGGCTCAGATCTGATCTTACCTTTACCGACTTTTAGCTATTAAAGCCTTTAATTTTAAATACCCGCTAGTCAAAACTTACTAAACGATGGGCCATTTCCGATACACCATCTGGTATAGTATGAGCACCTATCCAATATAGTTATATGACTCTCCACTTCAGAGATCGGGGAGGCGCAGCTTCGCTCCGTTACAGAAATCGCCCTAAAATTACCGTTTTTAATTGTGAACAGAAGCCCTATCCGGTATGGTTTTTGTGACGGCGCAAAAGCTATCCAGCATAGTGTGAACATAACCTCTTTTTCAAAGTACTTTTCATATTAAAAAATAACGTTTCAGTTTCAATCACACGCAAACTACAAGGATTTCCATATGAATGGCCTCGTTTTGAGGACAACTTATAAATGGGCTGATTTATTTTCAACTTTTTGGTGATGTATATTTTGGTTCATGACTCAGCCTCCCTACACAGAAAGACATGTCAACTTCATAAGTCAGAGTAACTTATAATCAGTTCAGGTGAGTGTAGTGCCGATTGTGAAATTGTTTGTCAAGTAAAAAACTTCCACTTGTTGGGGGGGAGGAGGGGTTTGATGGGTAAGCTTCATAATTAACAGTTAGTCAAGGCTGACTCGGCCTAGCCGGTAACACCCTCCTTGATCAGCATAATTCTTCAGATCATGAATCCAATAATTGTTTTATTATTCATGAAAAACAATTTTTGCTTTAAAAGCGTGCTTATCTCGTTTTTTTTTTTTTGGGGGGGGGGGGGGGGGGGGGGGGGGAGTGTGAAATTCTTAGTGATTATGTGTGGTGGTGTTGATACGCGTTATGAGTATATGCTGGTTGTGGGGGGGGGGTGGGTTTATAGAATAATAAAATATATTTTTTTTATTACTAATAAAAAACATTTTTTTTTTAACATGTTTTCTTTTTTTTTTTTTTTTTTTTTTGGGGGGGGGGGGGGGCGGTGGGGAGGTGCAAAAGATATCCTGTTGGATAGCTTCAACATTCATGAAATTACCAGAGGTAATTACCAGAGGTTTCGTTGAATCAGCAGTCAATTACAAAATCCTGAGAACACTTTTTCGGATGGAATTAGCCGTGATCATGAGGGATTCAAGAAATGAGGGAGCCAATGCCCGTTCCTAATACTGCGCATTCTTTAAAATAGCTACGTTTAAACATGAAATTTAGTAATTTAACCACTTTTTCTCCCGCGAATTCTTGTTTTTATTTCAAAAATTTGGTTTTATAATTTGAATTGATAAGGTAGATTGGCCACCGGAGAGAGAATTGAGAAGCTGACGTTCCTAGGTTTTGTTACGCGCTCCTTCCTCACGAGGGCGTGACAAGCCAAAACGAAACGTCAGCTTCTCTATTTCAATCACCCTACAGTGGCAATCCACCTTATCAACTAAGATAATAAGACAAAAATAATACTAGTAGTAACCAAAGGTTGCAGCGTGCTGGCGACAACAATCGGCGGTCCAAAGGCATTTGCTCCAACGCTACGAGTTGTGTAAGTTTTTGACAGATGGTCAAAACACGCATGATCATATTACGAGGCGAGGGAAGGTCGAAACGCGAGCGATCAAATTGCGTTTTGTGGATTCCATTCATTCTTAGCGGAATTTCAAACTAATGCTGGCTACATACATGCGATGCATGCGTAATAAAAACTGGAGATTACGATTGCGGGCTCCTCTTGTCGCCCGCAAAAAACTAAGAGAAAAAAAAAAACAAGTTTTTATCTATCACTCCCTCTCCGACGAAAAACCACCACAATTTCTTTAGAAACCAATTCTTTAGCCTCTATTGATTTGACTAGATTTGTTTGTCACTTTTCACTTTTATTTTGAAGGAATACTTTATGACTGGACGCTGATTTTACACGGAACAGCGTTGAATCCTCTGGAAAACAACACCCACGTTCCTGTTTTACAGCCTGCTGACAAAATAAGTACGATGTAGAAACTAGAACAGTTTAAACAGGAACTTAATATATTTTCCAAATAGAAAATTTGCGAAAAGCATCTAGGCTGTTCTTTAGCTATCTTGCAAAAAAGCCTTAGTAGATAAGAATACCATTTCAGATAAGAGATAGTCCGTCGGCAGTCCTCCTCTCTTTAGCGACAGCTTTCACAAATGTGTTAGCGTATCACTTTACAGGCCCTACAGGGGTGGGAGGTGGGGGGTGGTTGGTAGGCGGGGGGGCGTTGGGGGTAGTGGGAATACCCAAAACCAAAAAGTTGTATGGTGACGATTGACTTTAAACTTGCAGATCAAAAACAGGAGTGCGCTAAGGCTTATTTGCTGAAGTTAGGCCAGAAAATCTGTCGATGATTTTATTTACATTTGTCGCATAAATGCGGTCTTTAATAAACGCCGATATCTCAAACGCTTTTATTCCTACAAGAATGTTAATAGCATTTTCTTTAAGTTCCACCATTCTTTATTTAGAATTCTAAAAATCATAGAAATCGGTGAAATTGTTTCTGACTCAAAAACATAACCAACATGCATATATATATATAGGTTCGGGCCACCTTAAAAAAAGAGGGTTTACGCAACAAGGCTGCTCCCCGGAGGGGGCTACTTTGGTGAATTTTTGCTGGGTATGTGCTGCTGGCTTCTCAGAACCCCCACCACATTAAACTCTATTCTGTGGTCAATTATAGACCCAAACTTAGTCACTGTTGAGCAGATATAATTAACTAAGCCACTTTCAATCAAACTTCGTAAAAGACATGACGTTTACTCCAGTTCGTGCTGAAATGTTAGCAAATTTTCCTAGGCCCGGTTCCTAAAAGGCTGATTAGCCCTAATCCAGGATTAAAATTTTGTTCCACTTTTTACATTTATTTGTCTATACATGGCATTGTGTAACATTTTGTGTTATCATTACTGTATCTCGTAGTAAAGGCTCAACAGTATTTTGTAAGCTCAAGTTGCCTGTTCTTAGACAGGAAATCGTGCTTGAAATGTGGCTAAATCTTGGGTTAAGCTTAACCATCTTTCGAGGAACCGGGCCCTGGAGTTTAATTCTAAAGACTGGTGTCGAAGTTCAGAAAAATGGAAAGACAGTCGTTTAAATGCGTTTTCGCCCTCCACAAAACGTGAAATTAGGCAGTTTCACGTCGTAGTGGTGAAGTGACGGCAAACAGTTGTTCAAAAAGCGTGATTGGCACGGGCAAAGTTGTTGTTCTCCTTTTACTCCATACAAACCCTTCTAATTTTTGGGGGGGTCGGCCCAAAAGAATTTAGAAGGACTTTGGATTCTTTGAATTACGAACTTTTCCGCGATCACCAAGTAAAGTTGAAGTGGGTACATTTTACCCCTTCACACTCAAGTAGGTTCCAAAAACACTTAGATTATACTTGAGAGCTCTAGTGTGAAGCCAATAATTGTTTCAACCCTTTATGAGTTTCTGATTCAGTTTGTATTCTTCATATTATTAGTTGTTGATAAAATACTAGAGACAGGCAGTGATCATCCTATCGGTATAGCATTTGCAGACATCAGTAGTAAATTGCTCACCCTCAAGTTTTTATCATGTTTAATTTTTCTTGTATTGATTGTTGCTATGCAGATTACATTGTCCAAATAACCGGCTGGCTTAATAAAAACGAATACTGGATTCAGTTGTTTGGCAATGGTGGAAAAACGTACGCACACAAACTAACACTCCATACACTACAATTTAAAGTGGATACACGGTAAGAATATTTCTTTTACTTGCAGTTACTTACCGTAACTCGGAGTAAAAGCTCAACAGTTTGTAATCTCGACTCGCGCGTTCTTAGAGAAGAAAACCTTGCTTCAAATTTGACTTAATCCTGGGTTTAACTTTACTATCTTTCGAGGAACCGGGCCCAGCCCCTCTATCTAGAAAGACCAAAAAACTGACTGTCGGGAAGAGGGAGGGATTTAGACTCTTCCCTTCTTATCTAGGACGATCAAAGGGCCTCTTATCGCAGGGTATGAAGCGTGAAGTGCAAATAATAAACTAATAAACTTCTAAAACTTTAGCCTCCAGCCTTAAGAAATGGGGTTGCCAACTTTTGTTGACGCGAAGTGCAGTGGTCCAATTAAAGACTGCTTGTAAAAAGGTCTTACGACTGTTTGAGAAAAAAACAAACAAACAAACAAACAAACAAACAAGCTAACTACAACTGCAACCAGAATTGCAAAAGATTAACAAAGTATGTTATGCTCATTTTAAATGTTATTGTAGCTTTTCGGAATCTTCAGTTGGAGTTTTAACAAAGGTACAACTTTTTCAAAGTGAAGTGAAGGAGATTTACATAGAAAAGGTTAGTGTTAAAGGATGCAATTCTTGACAAGTCTGGTGTAATGCTTATACAGTAAAGTCGACTCCCAGTAACTCGAACCCTCTATAACTCGAACCTCCCGCTAACTCGAAGCAATTTTCATTTCCCTTCATATCATTTTGTGTATAATTTTACCCTCGATAACTCAAACTTTTTTCTATTTCCCTTGAAGGTTCGAATTACAGGGATTTGACTGGAGTTATACAAAGATGAATGAAGTTTTTTGCCTGGTAACCGATCAGCCTGATTGTATCAACTTAGCTCTGGAATTTTTCTTTAAAAAATGGAACAATTTGAAAGAAATGTAGTCGACTCCCATAATTCGCACCTTCAAGGGAAACAGATAAAATTTCGAGTCATCGGGAGTTCGAGTTATGAGGGGGGTGAATAGGGGTATGCAAATCCGCCGATCCGCGGTATTTTAAGGCCCGATCCGTCGATCCGACTTAATTTTTGTTCAAATCCGAATCCGTGTTACTTAAAAAAATTTTCGTGGTATATGTAGAAAGTAGCGTTGTAGCATAAAAAAATGAATCACTTAATATAGTTGTTCTGTAATCACAACAGATGCGGGACTTCATGTTTAAAAAGTTTTCGTTACAGCTTCAAAACATTAAGCATTAGGAACAGAGCTTATAATGTTTCTTCCAACAATACAGATTTGACTAATCAAATAGTCTGCAAGCTTGCAAAATGAAAGTATCTGGTATTGCGTAAAATATTTCTTCTAAAAAAGACTTCTCGCTTGTCAGCGAACCGATGCCCTTCAAACTTAATTGGTTAACTGTTTTTCTAGTATCTTTACTTGGTAAATCATGGAAATTTCAGAATGTCAACTTTCCTCAAAGATCCTCAAATTAGAGAGCTTCAAACTCCCAGTCTTTTACCATACATTTATTGTAAATTTTGCCGTGTTTGCCCTCAACCAAGATGGCGACAGAAACCATGAAAAGGTCTATTAAGTTAACGATCAAGACAAGCAATCTAGCTGAAATAGCTTCGAAGAACATAATTTATATCAGTGCATGTCAGTAAACCAAATATAAAACTTACCGAACGTGCTCGCGTAGCTTCACCACACTTCCCCACTGACTGGAATCGACGCAGCGTCGAACTAATTTTTTTGAATAAAGTCATCGCCTTTGGCACCAGCGTGGTAGAAAAAGGCTACACACTCGATAGTTCTAGTTTCCATTTTGCAATTTAGACAATTTACACGAACTCATTCACAGATCTTGTCAGGTCACTTAGCATTACCGCCATTACCCAGGGTTCTCAATAGAAGGCGGCACCCGGCGATTGATCGCCGCTTACTTTGGGATTTATAGCCGCTTACTTTGTGTTTAGGTCGCTTTTCTTTGCTTTGTTTTGACACCTCTGGCTTTGCTGAAGAGCCTCCTACTTTATCAGTGATCACCTCCTACTTAAAAATCTATTGAGAACCCTGCATTACCTGAACCATGTGTCACCATGCAGGAATCATGCACAAGGTTGCCTGACGTCATTTTCGTCACGCTGTCTATACTAGAATACATGTATATGCGTCGGGTCACGAGAACGTCTCTTCCGGAAACCTCGGAAGTGGAACGTTAGCCGAAAAAACACCAGCACGTTGAACAAGGCCGACTGAAAATTGATGATCCGATCCACAATCCGAACTTCTAGACTGACAGAATCCGGAAACCGGGCCAAAACTTTCAGCTGACCCGCGATCCACGGTATTTTTCAAATCCGCGAATCCGCACGATTTATCGCCGAAATCCACAATCCGTGAGCTCTTTAAGGCCAAATCCGCCGATCCGCGGACCTATTCACGCCCCTCAGTTATCGAGAGCAAAATCATATAGAAACACCTCAGAAGAGGACGGTATTTATCATATCGCTCCCTATTAAAACGCTTTGCTTTTGTTAAACAGTATCTTGGAGAAGTCTAAGAAGACATATGAGTATGTTGGTTTTCTTGTGGAGTGCGTTTCGTAGAATTTAAGTTTCAACTCACAGCCTCGCTTTCCTGTTTTGTTTATTTTCACTGTTGTCGACTTTTAAAAACATAGCTATAACTCAAAATGAAACTACCTAGCCAAAAAGAGGGTGCTTTGGATGATCAAACATCTACAAACCGTTTCTGTTCACTAGGTTAAGCAAAACGGCTCTAACTCCCGGACTAATAGATTGACCCCAAAGTTGTATGTTGTATGAAGTTGTTTGGATTTAAAAGGAGTGATGTAAAAGATATGATTTCTTCCAAGTAAAACAACAATTGACCTGTTGATGTTTTCAGGTAGTCGTGCGACAAGAAGGAGAGAAAACACAGTCTGTGTTTATCTTGAAAGAATATAAAAAGGTTAAAACAATCACTATTAGCAGAGGTTAGTTGAATTGTCCACCTCTGCATAAGGAAGAATAACCAGCGTTAAAATAGCTTTTACACGTTCATTTTTTATTCCTTTCCATCTCAGTCGCGTCTGGAAAAGGGGAACAGGCCAAAGTCGTTAGTAGGGGTAGGGGGAGTAGGGTTAAGTCTTATATGAAGAAGGCGGGGACGCCTGTCGAAACGTGAAATCACACCCCTAAGAATAGACGTAGTTCAAACTTTAACGAGACCATTTTAAAAAAGAAAGCCAAATTTTGAAGAGTGAACGCGTTTTTTTCTTCTTTCTATCTCATTTCATTTCGACTCAGTTAAGATGAGTCAAATTTTTTTTACAGGAAACTGTAAGGATCCTGGACAGCCACAAAATGGCTTACGGCTGGGGACTGACTTTGGCTATGGTAGCGTTGTAACATTTAGGTGTGACAGTCCTTCGTATGTTCTGATAGGAGCCTCAGAGATAACATGTAGCGAAGGAAAGTGGAGTGGTAAAACACCATCTTGTGGAGGTTGGTTTATCCAGACATCATGCCAAGTGCAAACATCAGCCTGCGGAAACTGCCGTTTCTCCTCACTCTTCGCCGCTGGGGACGTTTCGCGAGGAGGAACGTCTGCGACTCAGAGACAGAAATTCCATACTGATTTTATGACGTAAATCAGTGTTTACATAATATATCCGGTAGTGATGGGGTTCCACATCCAAAATTGTTTAATTTTACGTTTCTCCTTGTCGCTTTTAATAAAGTATTGTGTTCACCTGCGAACGACCTCCAGTAAAAACTCATATGCTTCTTCCAGAGAAAAATATATTCCACCAAGTTTGACTGTTTTGGTAGAGATTCACCGCGTTTATATTTGGCCTTTGTGGCCTTTTATCTTTCGCCTGTCATTCGTAAACAATAGCTAAAACAATGTAACTACTCTGTCGAGCAATCAGCGCTTCTGACCGGATTCCGGACAAATTTTCCGTCATCAGTACGGAATTTCTGTCGCTGAGTCGCAGACCTTATTCCTCGTGAAACGTCCTCAGCGGCGAAAAGAGGAGAAACGTCTGTTTTCGCAGGCTAGTGCAAACATAAGCTGTTTTGATTCAATGTTCCAACGATCAACTGACACTTTTCAATCCTCGTGTTGAAACGGCATCCCGGCTGATTTGAATTGAAATATTCTGACGTTAGGTAATTTTAGAGGATATTGAACTGATCTATCGATTCATTTATAAATGCAACAGTGAGTGAGGTCTGAAGAAATTCCTTTTGATTTTACCACGTGACACGTACTGGATTTACTGAAAAACAGGATTCTTAAAACCAATTGCACGGCTGTGATCAATTGTAAAGCAGTCAACTGCAAAAGGAAAGAACAAAAAGATAATGGATATAATAGTTATTCGCTAAAAGGGTAACGTAGTTTTGCTCCAACCAGGTGCATCTATATAAGAAATGACAAGTCATTAGATTAAAATGACAAAATACGAGACTGCCTTAATTTGCAGGAAAATGCGCCAAAGGGCAATTTTACACACGGGTGAGTTCTAATAAGTTGGTCAAAACTGTCGAGAACCGCTGTATTATAGCGCCAACCAGCCGATAGAGAATTTCCTTAGAATATTATTTGCAATGCATTGAAGTAAAAATACGTCATGACCAGTCAAACACATTTGGTTGATTTAGACAGGGATTCATCCTTACAGAGGTACCCTCATGGTAAAGTTGAGTGCAGGTCATATTAAGATGACCGAAATCACTTAACTTTACACTGTCTTACTTAGATGTGGACGAATGCAAAGAAAGCTTGGATAAATGTCACTCTCACGCTAACTGCACGAACACTGAGGGTTCGTATACATGCCATTGCAAACCAGGTTATTTTGGAGACGGATTTACCTGTGAAAAAGGTGAGACAGTTAACAGTGATAAAGGGGAAAAAAGGGGAAAATTACCAGTTAATTAAAAGTCTTCTGATAAGCACTCTAGGAGGTGTACAAACGACAATGTGGAAGATATGCGTAAAAGCATTGCTGCTGTAATTTTTGCTCACAAAGGGCTTCTTAAAACTAAACCCTCAGGCGATTCAGTTTGGAATTCAATGTAGGGGCGGCGCTCCCTTCCAATGCTTAAAGTCAGCGATAAAATCGGTGACTTTTGTTTTTGGCGAGACATTTCTCTCCGACAGGTGGTGTGTTCATAACAACGAGTTTTGATAGCCATACATGTATTTATAATAACCAAGTTTTGATTTCCAAGCTAAAATTAGTATTAGTGATGGAGATCAGTTTAGTAAACCTTAAAAGGCTTTAGTTGAATTTGACCCCTCTTTGTTCTTTTTGGCACGAGAAAGAAACGCGAGCGCAGTAAAAATTATTTTTACTTTTTTTTTGTTTTCTTTTGGCTCTTCGCGTCCAAGTGAGAGCTTGGAACAGAGCAACAGAATAGCATAGAGGTAATTCGAAATAGGAGGGGGAAAGGGGTGGGTGGTTGACTCCGATACGAGGAAAGCAGGCTCTTGTACAAAACATGGAATTTTACCCCCATGAGAGACGAACTGGGCGCCACTAAAACGTTTTTGACCAACTAAGAGCTATAGTAGTTATTAAATCCGAGAATTATCTTCCAATTTTTTTTCTTCTCCTTTCTTTCTTTTTCCTCCTATTCTTCTTTTTTTCCAATCAAGCCTTTTAAGGTTTCTATGTCAAATCTTCGATGAATATTCTAGAATATCGAATCTCTTCCTTGTTGTAGAATATATTGAAATCTCGTTCTGAATAGCTAAAATGCGTTTCGAACTATTCTTTACAGCAAAATGTAAGGATCCTGGGAAGCCCAAAAATGGCTGGCAGGTCGGGAACAACTTTGCCGATGGTAGCGTTGTAACATTTGGGTGCAACAGTTTGTCGTATTTTCTGGTAGGAGCGTCAAATTTAACATGTAATAAAGGAAAGTGGAGTAATAAAACACCGTCTTGTGAAGGTTGGTCTAGCAAGTGAATATTGTGTTAATACAAAAGGTAAATAAATGATACATATAGGAAACAAAAGCTACAACCTTAAATCGCGTGAGCATATTTGTTACCAAAAATCCAGATGATTTTAGAAGGAGTAGACGGGAGATACAATAAATACCACTTTTTTTAATTTGGGCCTTGGCTTAATCTATATAAGGAGAAGCTAACGCGATAGAGAATTTAAGTTCCGACAGGCATTAAAAATATGTCATAATCTGTCAAAGACATTTGGTTGATTTCAATAGACCGACTGGATGCAGCCTTACTGGTGAGAGCTTATGGTAGAGTTGATCGTAGGTCATCCTTAACTCGTTGAGAATAATTGAAATCACTAAACCTTTACATTGCCTTATTTAGATGTGGACGAATGTAAAAAAAGCTTGAGTGAATGTCACTTTCAAGCTGATTGCACAAATACTGAGGGCTCGTATACATGCCGTTGCAAACCAGGTTATTTTGGAGATGGGTTCTCCTGTGTGTCAGGTAGGTGAAACAACAGCGATAAGAGGTAAAAGTCGTTCGCAAAGGCGCTGACTTGTAGTCGTGCGATAAGGAGGAGAAAAACAGAGACTGTGTCTAGGTTACTGAATCGATTGAAAAAAAACATAAAGATGATAAAATTATTTCTATACGTAAAAGTGAGGACGGACTGACTGACTGAATGAATGAATAAACTGTATTAACGTGTCAATATAATATCTAGTAGAAAGGGAAATCCTCAGCTAATAGGGGACACCTAACTTAGCATAAAATGTATTAAATTGACCAAATCTACATAAAGCTATCGTATGTTGGTTTTCACTGCCACGCCGTCGAAAATGAAAATGAAAACCGTTCAATAGGTATAAACTAGAATCTGGAAAATGAAAGGATTTAAATATCTTAAGATCCTCGCCAAGATTCAGGTAGCTCCACATTTCTTATGCGAGTAGGAGATATTCGAAGAAACGATTTACTCAAATTTCTGGACCTTTGTCTTGAAACGCCATGTTGGTGCCCATTTGGATGGGCATCAACATGGCGGCGGGAAACAAACAGAAAAAAGTTATGCTACGAAAGCGTGGATTCCTCTCGAGGAACTCATAAACATGAAATTAACATTGTTCTAGAAAAAAGACGAAACCTATCGAAGAGAAAGTTTGTGTGAATATTTGTTTTTAGCCGCTCTAATACTTCATGAAAGTAAAAACTCGGGAGGATCGATAATTCTCTGGTTTTGACGTCATGTGAAAAACTAGCAATTACAACAATGCAGAAGATATACATATGAGCATTGCTGCTCAAATTTTTGCTTACTAAAGAGCTTCTTAAAGCTAAACCCTTGGGCTACTCAGTTTGGAATTCAATGAAGCGGCAGCAGTCCCTTCCAATGCTTATAGTCTCTAAACGCTTTTACCAAATTGCCGATTAAGTGGTTGATTTTCTAGCTCTCAAGTTTATTTGCCAACTGGATTATGTTTTTTTATGGAGAGGCAATTCTTTCCGACGTGTAATGTGTTCGTAAACACGAGCTTTGGCACCCATATTTAACAAAATTTTGATTTTCACCCTAAAATCATTGTTAGTTATAGAAATTAGTCTACTTAACTTTTATAGGCTATAGGCTTTACTTTTGGCACGAGAAAAGAAAAGCGAGCGCGATAAAAACGTTGTTTACCCGTTTATTTTATTTTCGGCTCTTCGTGACTAACTGAACGCTTAAAACAGACTAGCATAGTAGAAACCTAAAGTGAGACGGGGGAAGGGGAGTGGGGTTGACTCCTATGTGAGGGAGGCGGGGACTCTTGTAGAAAACCTGAGAAACACGAACTGGGCGTGACTTTAACTTTTTTAATGCCTTTAACATACCAATCAAAAAAAAAAACTGCAAAGAGGATCATCGCAGTTAAAGACACAACTCATGCAGTTACGAAAAGAAAGCCCGAAAAAGTTCAGGCTTACCGGGATTCGAACCCTGACCAGCGTTATAACCAATTGAGCTAGCAAGCCAACTGGGAGCTGGACATGAAATTGGTTAGTAATTTACCGGGGAAATAAAAATATATATTTTCCTAACTGTGTGCAAGTTCTCGTGTTTTCATTTTCCTTCATTTTGCAGTTCTAATATACCTTATTATAGGAAATTAACGCTCCATGAAATTAACGCGAATCGTTAAAATTCGCGTTAATTTAAGTCGCTTTAATTTTGTTGAGCGTTAATTTCCGCAACGTTAATTAAGTGCAGCGTTTATTTCCGAGCACTTATTTTCCAGTATTTAAACCCCAGTTTTTACAAGCTTTCTTTCTGTCCATTTACCCTTTATTTTTCATCTTTCACAAACCTAAGGGGAAGGTTTCTAATATTTCGAGTTCATCTTCATCGTTGTCGCTGTCAGAAGTGATGTCAGCTCAGTTTTGTTCAGTTTTGAATTTTTTTGCATCCAGTGTACATGTTGAAATAAATTTGTTCCAGTTGTCACCACCAACTGTGTTTTGATCGCGTTAATTTCCTTTATTATGAAATTCTACCTCCTCTTTCGCGTTAATTTTCTTTATTCGAAAGTGGTTTTCCATTAAATTCGCGTTAATTTAAGTCGCGTTAATTTCCAATACCTTAATTTCATGGAGCGTTAATTTCCTATAATAAGGTATGAAATTCATATCATCTCTTAAATACGATGACTAAACTAATTTTGAATGCTTTTCTTCCTTATTCTCTCTTTTTTGTATACCAAAACTTAAAGGTTTTCATGTAAAATCTTCTGTAAATATTCTAGAATATGGAACCCTCCGTTGTTGTAGAATACATTGAAATCCTGTTGCGAATTTCTAAAATGAGTTTCAAACGGTTTTTTTACAGCAACATGTAAGGATCCTGGAAAGCCCAAAAATGGCTGGCGGCTGGGAACCAACTTTGGCAATGGTAGCCTTGTAACTTTCATATGTGACAGTCCGTTGTATGTTCTGGAAGGAGCTTCAAATATAACGTGTAATGAAGGAAAGTGGAGTAATAAAACACCGTCTTGTGAAGGTTGGTCTAACAAGTAAATGATGATAAATAGTTGCCACATACAAGCAAAATAAGTAGTCTGTGTGGCAGGAGTCGGTTAGACTTTTTGGTACTTTGTTTATCGAACGAGCGAGGGAAACACCTTTTGTCTCATCGTGCGCACGCGCGCGTCTACGATAGTTCTCCTTTAGCCCTAAAAAAAACCGGCGCTGCGCAGGCTACCGGTTGACTCCGGGAACAGCTTGTTTAATTATTTATAAAATTTCATTGTTTGGTACGGCGGCAAACCTGGAAGCCATTTTTCGCGAAACTTCCCGAGTTTAGCATTGCTCGCTCGAAGGAGCTGGAGGTGAATCAGTGAATAGCACTGTATATCCGGAGTTTGAGTAGCCAATCAGAGTGCGCAAAAAACACTATCCTCTGTTTTAGTATATACTAAAACGTGTCATTCCTTCAACAGGAAAGAATATCCGCTTTAGAGGCAAGTCATTTGGCAATATCAATGGTATCGACCTTACTGGTCTTCTCGTCGATTTGATTGCAATCACAAAAGACGGTCGTGTATATGTGTACATACTGAAACCTCCACTCGACCTTGCCCACTCCCTGAAGATTCTCACACCTTTTGCTGACGCGATTGGTTGGTCGATGGGTGTTATAAATGCAAAGGGCGTTCCGAATGGTTTTACTTTAATTGGCCACAGGTTTACAAGAAACGTGGTAGTTTCCTTCGACACAGGTAAACGGGTAAATTTAAGTTTTTTCTACTTCCTTCCGAAGAAGCGGTACATCGATTTTCAATATTGGGTCACAGACATATCTGCAAGACATTTTTCCACTTGGACTCGCACTGGAATGTTTTAAAAGTCGAGACTTTTCCTTCGCTTTGTAGTTTTAATTTTTTTGTGGAGTCCACGTAGTTACCTGATACATTTTATATAACAGTATAAATTATTTGAAGCTACTAAACAGTATGTCGTCGAAAAAAAGGTCGTTTAACCCCAGTCTTAAAATTAGTAAATCCCTCAGCTGTCTACTAAAATTTCCGCCGCTCTGTCGGGTCCCCCAGCTGGTAATGAGACCCTACATTCTTAGCGAAATAGTTTGGTGGCTGGGCGTACACATACTTGTGAGGTGACGGTTGTGGTGGCCATCTACAAGTAAGTTTCCTTTGCTTTTTCTTCTTTTCCACAATTTCTAGTAATGATGCTTAAGTCGACTTATGGCAACTAAAAAGACTGGTGTGATTTTTTTTTGTCATAGCTTCGATTGTTGTTTCTTGTCTCAAAATAACCACTTGGCTTTGACGTTATCGAACAGGTGAAGTTTTAAACTTATACCAGAGTTTCACGGGTAAAGACCCAAGCATGACTGTCATCGCCTTTGAGTCTGCAATCAACGGCACAATGCCAGTCATCAGTCCGAATTCTAGCGTCAAAGTTCATTCTTTCAAAGAGGTTTTTCGTTGTGTGGACCGTGGAAGAGTAGAGTCGAATGGAACAGTCACTTTCGAAGTGGACGGACAAGTAAACGAGTTCTCGGTGCTGCAGAATATCGCTTACGACGAACTCGATGGATGTGAAAGCGGCTTCGACAGCTTTAATGTGGAGTCCAGCGTTCTTCATTCAAAATACGATGAAAAACAGAAGTACTCTGGAGTAGCTATCAAATCTTCCATTATAAACGCCTCAAAACAAGAGGGTGAGTACCTAATACAACCACAAAAATAATTTTCTCCAAAAATTGTCTATTTACAGACTGTCGCAATTTGTAATAATCATCGCACTTTGTAATACCTGTCGCAACTTGTAATAAACCGTGTCACGCTTTGTAATAAAAAAGCCGTCGTAGTTTTGTAATAACTTTCCATCGCACTTTGTAATAAACTAAGCTTTCGCAATTTGTAATAATTCCATCGCACTTTGTTATAAACTTACATTATTTTCTTTGGTCAAACAAGCTTGTCTTCCGTTATAAATTTTTCTGCCTTAATTAATCACGTGACCAACGAGAATCGCTTTTATGAAAGACATAAAACTTCCTATGACATGTCACCAAAAAAAAAAAAAGAATCTTTTCATATATTTGAATTCAAAAATATTCAAATAACAAAAGCAACATTTAAGAACAGAAAATTCATGAATAACCTGGCATTCGTCGTCCCAATCCAATCCATGGGGGGGTAACTCAAGTAGTAATGGATGGTTTGGTTTATTATCCTTTCTATTTTGTGGAAAAAAAAATTATCCTAAACACGCTCGGAAGAATTGCAAGGTCTTACGAGTTCTATGTAGGGAAGGAGATTTTTTTTACTATCCCCTCAGTATTTGCTTTAGAGGGCTCCATAGAAAAAAATTGTTTTAGGATGGAATGATAGTCCTTTTGTTCCTATATGGGACCAAATCAAGAGAGAATAATGGACCAAATGGCCAGCCGGCTCAGTGTATCAGTCCAAGCGAGTTTTATAAAAAACAGGTACACACAAAGGTATTGGCCAGCGACTTATTGGATTTTGTGTTTATGTTTCTGTTGTGGTTCGACGGTTTGCCACGGGTGACGTTTTTGTTTATTTGCAGTAAAATACATTTTGAATTTTACAGGCCTCGTCTGATTAATTTGGGCAAAATATAGAAGCCACTATTACTTCTTCTAAGATTGCGTCTTAGACAAGGACGCTGTTTTATCGACCTGTTTTAAGATCTAAAAAGGAAAGCTTTCCTGGTGTCCTTATTTGAATGATGTAAGGATGGATGTTACGATTTTTGGAAATTAAATGCCTTTTAATAATGGCTCATTTGTGTCTAGTGTGTCTAGATTCTGTACTCTGACAACGCTCTGTACAGCGGCACATCCCCGTATTGGCTATATAAGGGAGCATGCCCCCCCTCCCAGATAACCATTGCATGCAAACCATCTAATACAATAGCAAGGTTTAAGAATACAGAATTTCGTACGTCAGATAATCAATCAACATTAATTAAAAATAAAAACGTTTAGGACAGTAAACAAAGTTAAATGGTTTGAATGAGCGGAGATATAAATTACAAAAAAGCAAAAGTAATTCATCATCTTTGTTTACAAAGTACCATTCATATTTTGGCATTATATTAATGTTGACGAAGCAAGTTGAATCACTCTTAAAAAATTATTACAAAGTGCGATGGACAGATATTACAAATTGCGATGATTATTACAAATTACGACAGTACTGTTCCCTGGGCTTTCGTTTCAGTAACGTCTGGTAGTTCATACACGAAATAATTATTCTTTTAAGTGTACAAATTGTTTCTTTTCTTCAGATTTCACCCCTAGTTTACTCACCAGATATGCTAATTGTTAACAAGCGCCCACATAGTAAGTCTGGGATGCTAGTGTTTAAAGCAGTTCTCTTTTCTTTTCTTGTTTTGTTTTTCTTTTCATTCTGGTTTGATAGTTGCCATAAGTTTTCAGTTCCAACGCGGGGGATCGAGATCCTGAACCTTAAAAAACACTCACACCATTATTTCTCCAAAGGATGATAACCCCAGCTTCTTAGGTATAGGGTTACGCTATATAAAGGACTTAGTGTGCTGAAATAGAACAAATTTTGACAATACGTCCTTAGCTCTTACAAGTAACTCAGAGTACAATTATTAACAGAGAGATATATTTCAGATTGTAGATGGTCACTTGGTACAGAGAAGTTTAAAATTGGGAGTTTTAGGATCAGTTCGCCTGATTCCCATAACATTCCTCTCCCCCGCCTTCATGGACATTTCTCTTGGTGCACATCAGGACAGACATATTTAAAGATCTACCTTGGTGCAAACCCCAGGTACAAAGTCACCGCCATAGCCACTCAAGGAGGGGCAGACAAAAACCTATGGGTGAAGCAATACAAACTGCGTTTTCGTGTTGGTAACATAGAAGTTCCTTACAAAGAATCTGAAGCACCGAAGGTCAGAATTGTTCAGTGATTATGATGTATTTTACAACACGTAGTTTTTGTCAAAGTTAATTTTTTGCAAGACCAAGAGAGAATGAGCTACTCTCTTGGAACGACCTCATATTAAAGGAGTGGGTATGTCAATCGTCTCGATTACTAGTAAAGATGGGGTATATCACTGCGGAACGCCAATATTTTATGCCCACAGGTGGTACTTATCCTCCCTTGTTAGGAGGTCTGCAATTTTGTCCAGGATTGTAAGCTTTGGCAAAAATGTGCTACAAATCTCAAAAACAGAAATACGTAAATAACATTGCTTTTCTTGTACAAATCTACAACAAAAATAACACAAGGATCAAGAAATTGGCAAAATATCCAAAGAAAAACATGAATTTTGTCCCCAACAGAAGGAAAATTGTTCACAAAGATCCCAAATCTATCAAGAACAACAATTTTAGCAGAGACACTCAGGCAAACGACAATTGAAGGAGGCGGAAGAAGAAAATCAAAAAGAAAGAAAAAGAAAGAACCATTCAATTACAACCTTATATCTCAGCTAAACTGCATTATTGTAGCTCTTATTTGGCTCTCTGTTTCAGAATTCTATCTTTTAAGGGTCAAAAAAAGCCTTGACCACGCCTTAATTGGTCTCTTTTTCAATTTTCCGACAAGCAACCAATGCAATTTAACATAGAAGTCCTGCCCGACACAGTATCACCCTGCCAGTTAAACTTGACGAAAAAATTCAAAGAAAAAGTACGTCATGCAAAAAAGAAATATTTCGGTTTAAAATAGACACTATACCCTCATTTTTTTTACCTTTTGATTTTGCTTCTCTTTCCTTCGCTCTTCCTACGCCGATTTTTTTTCTTTTGCTGGGCATTAACTAGGGGTGCTTAGCATTTACACAAACCACCCGCATGGAAAATTTGTGCCTAACGGCATAAAACTATAAAATACATTGAACATGGTGGGGAAACGAGCCGCTACACAGTATATCCACATCTTCTGAACAGACTACAAAGAGTAGAAAAATTGAATCGCCTCAAGACATAGCCCGCCATATTTTCTAAAGCTTTCCAAACGAAATGGCACGAATCATTTGATTTTGAATTGGACATAGTGGGGAACGAGCCGCTACAAAGTCTCCACATCCTCTGAACAGACTAAAAATTGTAGAAAAATTACATTGCCGCAAGACATAGCCCGCCATATTTTCTGAAGCTTCTTAAACGGACTGGCACAAATCATTTGATTTTCCAACCGGAATTTCCGGTTTTCCCAAGTAAACGGTAAGTACCCTAGGGTTCATTTCGGTGGAAAGACTTTTAGGATCGAAGGATTAGGCGGAAATTAAGCGCGGGTGGGAAGTGGAGTGAGATTTTTATTGGAATTTCCGTTTCAAACTGACGTATATGGCGTTTTGCGTTTTTCTCCTGCCTGACGGTTTGACTGAATCGTGCTCATTCTGATTTGATTTGAAAGATCTCTATCCCTGCACAAATTAGATGTTAGAGTTGTCCTTGACTGTAAAACAGATTACATCGCAAGCAATACAAGGGACATAGATCAGCACGGGCAGTTATGGCCGGTTCAGGGCTTAACGGAACTTAAAACAGCGAACATACAAATGAACTTTTTTCTGTAACGTTATTCTCTTCTTGCCGTCTAATTCTACTTGAGCCAGTTCCATATCCATTGTGATTTTTTTCTTCTGAATTTCTAGTACTTTCCCTTTTCTGTTGTTATTTATTGTTTTCAATGTTATCTTTTATCAGATCATAGAGGGGAACAAGGACAGTAACTCTGTTGTGATATACCATCTCAAAAAGCCGTTTGTAACGAAAGAGTTGAAGATTATCCCCGATGTCTCAACGCCATCCATCTGCTTGAGAACAGAAATATATGGATGTCGCCCTGCTGGTAAGAACATTACGGCTCCCTTCCAGTAAATGTAATATGTTCGGTTGACCTGCAACGTTCTAAACCTCTTATTTCATTGGTCCCCTTTAATCTACACTTCCATTGTTTTCAGGGATAGGGGTATTGTTATGTCACAATCCCTATTTAGACTAATTGTTTTCCCAGCTAATCGTACAAACGCCGGATCTTTCGAATAGGTACAGATTACCCCAATATGTTTACCATAAAAGAATTCGTTGTCGTATAGCTTCTTAGCTTAAAAAACTGGATTTGAAAAGAAATAATCACAACTATTAACGTATAGGAAAACTCACAGGATAGAAGGAATAAAATTGTACATATCTAATATATATATGAGAACACACTTTCTAAAACTTAAAAAACAAAATAAACTGCTTTTCACAAGTGCAGTTTACAGCCAGCCCGAATACTCTGAAGGTTTTTTGCTTGTCACAACTCCAGGGGAGGACTAATCTAAGGAATTGCCCCATAGCCTAATACGTTCTTCATACAGAAATCCGTGAGAGGCAATGGAACGAAAGTTTGCTCTTAGTGTCCCTTATAGAAATTAAAGGAAAATAATTAGAAGTGGATTATAGTCCATAACCACTTTTTGAGCTTTTCCTTGGCAGTCCAGTAATTTGCCAGCTAATAAGCCAAAAAAGATAATAAGCATCAGTGTCTTAGCTGGGGAACGTTAAAACTCGGCCGCCCCTTTTTGAAGCTTTTGTAATTTGGCACTAAGCAGGTAGGCTTAAGAAGCTCTTACTCTTATAAAAGAACGATTTAAGCGAACATGTTTTTTCTTTTCTGTTCTTTCAGGGTATTTAATTTCAACTTTTTTTCCGTGTTTTTTTAGACTGTATTCTGCTAGGTTCAATGTTTTGGGGACTTTGGACAAAAAGAGAAAACTCAAGTAATTACTATATGGCTTTCATCTCACGGATAAATAGCACTCACATTGAATTCATCTTGCAAGTGGACAATAACAAGAATCGAACATACAACCGTCTGGATCCAGTGCTTATAATAAACAGGATCCCAGAGAAGCAGGAAATATCAGTTAACGCATCTGTCATAGCTGTTCACGAACCAAGGAAGCAAGAGTGGTATCGAACAGGTACCGTGAAAAACATGAGGTCTGATAGGGGGAAATTAAAGGTGGAATTAAAATTTGATAATGGTGACTCAAGATTAGTCAAGTTAACAGAAATCCGCTTAGTCAAACGACCACGGTTCTGTTAAGAATTGCATCTAACAGAAAGGCTGCTTTTATTGAAAATTTTTTTAATCTAGATTTGCGAAACCACAAAAAAAAAAAAACGAACGGTTTGCGCTATGGCTTTGTTTTTGCTGTTGTAACACAAATCCTCGAACTCTGGGCAATTCATTAGTTCCTTTTAAAACCGAATTGTAACAACAACAAAAAGAACTTAAAACAGCGTCTGTCTTGCCGAGCAGCCTTTCGTTTTTATTTACTCTTAACTTTCTCCCTTTTCTTTTTTTTTCTTTGTGTAAACGAGTAGTATATTTTAACATTTTACAATTAAGTGGCTGTCCACCTAAGAGCGGTCCGGCGAGTTTGGGATCGCCAGTAAACCTTCCCTTTATTTTTTGTGGGTGAAAAGGACTTAATGAGGAATGATTAAAATCGAACTAATTTTTTTCAAAATCCTTTTCTGTGCTTCGCTACAGCACAAAACTTCTTTCCTGTCCGAGAGCCCTTTTTCAACCTTATTAGACGGCCGAAATTCGGTGATTTTAAAAGCCGCGCTTCTTCGTAACGGATAAATATCGCGAAATTCTACATAGTACAATGGATTTAGCTGCATTTGACTTGTCCTATGACGGAATCTTGGATAATTTGACGCGAAATAAAATAAAATTAATAAGATCAAAGACGAGCCCCTTTGCAGTTTTTTTGCTCCCTTGACAAATTCTTCCAAAGTAAAAGCTAAAATCTCCAAAGCGGTACAAAAATGACAGGCAAAATGCACTTCACAGCAAAGACCTTACCTTATTCTGTCAGAAAATAAAGTCAAAGGTGCGGGTATCGTTCTGGGTTCGACGCGATCAAACGTTTTTAAGAGCCTCTTTTCGACATTATTTGCATAGATTTGCCCGCTTAACGGCTCACACACCACGACTTTAATTTAGTAGATATTTTCTCAGCAGCTGAGAATGTTGTTGTGTATCCTCAAAATAACGAACATGTGTTTTCTTTTCTTTAGCCTTTTTAAGTTTGTATAAATGAAAGCCGAAAAAAATGCCATAAACTGACATTCTTGATCAACCCGTCGGATATGCAAATCGTGCTTGTTTACAGCCAGGTTGTCCATTTCAGCTATGTTAAAATCTCAAACTTTGTACGGTTATTAACTTCTTCTCAAAAGTAATCAATCTTCAGCTTGGAAACTCAGCAACCGGATACCCTTTTTAAAATAGAAATTTATCTCATATTCCATTTCTTTTTCCGTTTCGAGCATTTGACATGATTTGAATCATTGTTGAATTCCCACATCCCTGTTTATCCCTCATTTATCATGAATATGTCGGATTCTCTCACCTCGGGTGACTTTTCTCGTGTAGTTCTTGAGAAATTATTAAGAATCACTTTAAGTTTGGTGAAGGGTATGTCCGTTGTAATATTTCTCCGAGTGCGGGTAATGTTGAACGTTTGTCCCACACGCCATCAGACATATGCTAATTTGCATTTTTGTCACGCAATATACCTCCAGTATCGATCCCTTTCTTTGCATAAACAAATAAAGGTTGAACCATTACCTTATTAGTAGGGGGTGGGGGGAGGACAAGGACACCGTGATTAAAAAAGAATTTTACAGGGCTGGAAGGATAATATATATTATACATACAACGAAGTGCCAGAGTGGTGTCCTGATCAATAGTTAACCTTGAGCAGAATAGAAGTAGACTGATGAAACTAGATTAAATCTTGAACATTTGTTGCTACCCACAGTCTCATGCCTCTTGCTTGGCAATCATCAGGCAACTGCCAAAATTAATGGTTACAATCAAAGATATAGGTAAAACTGAACAGTAAATACTACGCGTACGTAAAGTGCCACATTGCTTG